TAGATAAAACTACTGACTCATAGAATTCTAGCCTATATTATTCATTAGATCTGACTTACTTTCGATAATGTAACTAGAAATTTCTTATACCAATCAATTTTTATTTTTACAATTCTCAGAAACAAGCGGATCGCATTAACAATAATTAAATAAATAATGTGTGGTGATTAGTGACCGTTAATCGATAATTATTCAGAAATCATGAGATGCGGTCTGGTGTGATGTAGGTTTTAGAAAAACATTTTCTTTATCGTGCCAGCGTTTCGATCTTTATTGAGATCATCTTCAGGGCTCGTAGTGTTTGTCTTCTGTGTAATCGTGCCATTCTTGCGTGTCATGTTGAGAGTGTGAGTTGGGCACTTTCAACACGACACGCAAGAATGGCACAATTACACAGAAGACAAACACTTTGAGCCCTGAAGATGATTTCAATAAAGATCGAAACGTTGGCACGATAAAGAAAATGTTTTTCTGAAACCTACATCACACCAGACCGCATCTCACGATGTCTGAATAATTATTAAATAAATAATTACCATTAGGTTCAACCACTTGTCGAAAATTGTGAAGTATTTTGTTAAGATCTGTGAATTGATTATGACAGTTTTTGATCATTTTAAGCGAGGAAATATCCAAATCAGTAGGTACGCAGCCTGCTGCTCAGATATTGTCGTTTATAGCGCCTGTCTGAATCTGATCAGATCGGACTGGAAGATGAATATTGGCTTCGGTTTTGTTTCCATGAAAAATTTGAACAATACAATTGATTTCCCGGGAATGTTGTCCAGTTTTTGGAGCTGTTGGTGTTAACTTTATTTTATACTCGCCAACATAGGACAAACTATGGTTCAGAATTACGCCCATCTATGATGCGACATAATAAATATGGAGACAGCACAGTTCCCTGACTCATTACCAGATTTCAAAAAGAAGACTGCACTAGCTTTAGTATATCCCTTAGCCCTTTGTTGTTCATTATTTATTTAAGCGCATTAAACTTTTACATACATATGTTTTCTTTTGTTTAAAAGCATTTTTTTATTTGGAATTTTTTTTATAGTTTTTGTTTGTCTATGCATTCCTGAGTGCTCAACTTTTGAGTCATTTGACTTGTGTGAACTGTTGTATTATAAATAGGCAGACTGATGATAAGAAAACAATTGAACTATTCTTAGAAATATTGACATGAAATTTCATAGCTGTGTACACTCAAAAAACTTAAATTAAAATTAAAATGAAATATGTCATTTTCACTCATGATATATTTTGAATTAAAAGTATGCACAACAATTTGTCAAGATATTGTTCCTACTTATCATTTATTAATTATTCAGAAATCGTGAGATGCGGTCTCGTATGTTGTAGGTTTCAGAAAAACATTTTCTTTATCGTGCCAATGTTTCGATCTTTATTGAGATCATCTTCGGGGCTCAAAGTGTTTGTCTTATATATATATATACATGTCCATTCAAACTATAGTAAAACTTAGTTTTTAAATTGTGAGATTTCTGTGCGGGTCCTGCTAATTGACAAGCTGTAATTTGATCTTTTTCTATCATCCTGGTCGGCCTATCCTTGCTTTGCTGGCCTCTCAGACAGGCCCAACACTGAAAATGGCGAAATGCCAAACTGGGTCCATACAATCCAGTTCCATGCAATGAAAAGAAGCCTATTTTTTGTAATTTAAAATATAACTTTGGACTGTTTTTAAAGTTATTCTTATTTTATATACAACTTGGCCTTATCTTTTGTTGATTCGAACAAAAGAAGCCCAAAGGCATGTAGATAAAACTGCTAGCCAATGGAATTTCTTACATAGTTTATATTTTTAAAATGGATTTTTTTTTTAGAATTTTCTATCTCAAAGATCTCTGACTAACTTGGGAAAATAATAAGAAATTCCTTATCTGCTTTCAGTTTATTTCTCTTAATATCCGTTCGTTCTCAGAAATGCATGAATCATGTTGAAAAGAAAGACCTTTTATACATTAAAAAGAACTTATTGACTGTTGAGGTGTACAACGGCTCGGACGCTTTCCCTCACTAAGCGAGGCCAGTACATTTAGAGAATGCGCTCGTTTACTTTTTGTGTGGAAGGAAGGTAAGGTTCAAAAAAATACAAGAGAGATCGCAATCATATGCATATTATTGAATTTGTTTTTTATATTTATATTAATCAAATTAGTTACATACAAGTCAGCTGCAACTCAATTGACTCTCCTTAACAGGCCACTTGTTTCTGCCCTCGATTGCCTCCTTCGTGTCTTGCCCTGCGTGGTGTCTCTAGTCTGCTTTTTATTTCTTTGATCCAATTGGCTCTTTGTATTGGTTCCCAAAACGAGGGTGTAAGGGAACTGGCCGTCTGTACACAAAACTCCGTAATTCCTGTTAGCTTCTATTATTATTAACTTCTCATATTGGTCTGCCTATCTTTGTTGATTTGTACTAAAATGATTGGAAAGGATCAAATTTCAAGTCCATCACCCAGAAGACCCCAAGAGGAAATCTCACAATTATATTCTTTTGTTATTTTTTTATTACTATTTCATTATTCATTTAAACAAAAATTCCCTAATTTTATTTAGAAAAAAATTTATAAACACTGGAAACTAACTTTTGTCAAAGTTGAGTGGTGATCTTTTCAAAAAAGCAGAGAAGATTTGCTTTTTTGTCTGTGTGTACTTTTATGTGTTTTCATAAAAAAAAAAAAAATTGATCTGTTCAAAATATTTTCTGCTTTAGAATGATTTTTACATTATGAAGAAAATTTTATCTTTCAGCATTTGTTTTATAAACCAATTTTAATAATTACTGCCTTGTTTACAACTAAATTTGCTTAGTTTTCAAAGTAAGCAATCTTAAGAGAACATATTAAATGCAGTGTAACTTTTACTGTTCAAAATATGTCAAAGAGAAAGCAAGCATGTAAATTTATAAATTTTAGTTCTGTCAATACTTATTTCCATCTGAATTATCTCATTGAAACACTTAAATAGTGTAATACATTTTGGCGAGATGATTTCATAAAGGGAAATTGGATCATTAAAAGAAACCGGGATTCCATGACATTGAATAATTTAATTTAAAGGAGAACAAAAGGATCAGCATAAAAATGTTGAAATTATAACATTTTTTCCCTCTATCCACTCAGGCTTATATCTGCCATGAATCTCTACCGAAAGCGGGACCATGTGGATGCAGGGCACCATAGCGGGACCCAAGGGTTATACAGGCAACTTTTTCTTTATCTATCTCTCTTTATTTATTTATTTATAGTGTATAAATTAAAATATTCATAAAAAATTAAATAAAGTAAATAATTAGTAATTAACTAAAAGTAAATTTAATTAAATGAGTATAACTTTAGATTTTTAAAAATATTATATTTCATTGTTGGTTAACATAAAAACAAAAAATGTGTACGTACGATGCAGAATATTCTAATTTGGTATGATTTAGAAAGATAAATCAATAAAATAATGCTTTTTTGCATATTTTTACTGACATTCTGTAAGCAAAATAAGTCAGAAAATGGTCAAAACTTGGATTTGATCTCACTGTCGTAATTTTATCATTATGAAACGCTTAAATACCGACTTGTAAAAATCAGTGTAAATTAATTTTTTGGCTGATAATTTGAACCATCATTCTGACTGGCATTCCTAGTGTAAGCTCTAAAGTTTTCTCAAAAGCTAATGGACCGATTTTTACAGTTGATAATTCATTTCAAAGAAATTCAAACTGCATTTTATAACTGTATCAAACATTAAAATCGGACTATTATTTCTATACAAAAATATTTCTATTACTTCTCAAAAATCGAAAAAAAAATGTATGGGTCAAAAAGTTGATAAATTTAAATTCCAACAAAAATTTATATTTGGCATCTCTAGAGTGCTACAATGAAATTTGATGTTAGTATCCCAGAAAAAAAATTCATGACCTAATTGACTTGAAAAATATTTGGTTCTTAGAAATTTTTTGATTATTGATAAACTGATTAATTGATTTTCAACTAAAAAATTCCTGTAGTGTAGATTCCTTACATAACTTATTTAGCCAATGGGTTCATTCAATACATCCGACAGGTGTTCAGAACTAAAAAAATTTTCAATTGATGCTCAATGATATTGGACAACGACCCAAAAAGTTAGTCGTAATCATTTTCATTTCTTTTCCAATTACATAAGGAGCAGAATCCTTCCTAATATGTGGGGTTTATAATTAAGATTTATTAATTCCCCTCTAGTTTAATAATTTCATATTAGTTTCATGGAAAAAATTATGACCTAGTTTACTTGAAAAATATTGGGTTTTTAGAAGTTTTTTGATTATTGATAAACCTGGATAACTTTTATTATATTTTTAATGCAATCTACATAATAAATTATGTAAAATGATATATTCACATAGTTGATTTTTGAGCAAGTAGAACAGTGAAATAAAAATATTAGGAAACAGAAAATTGCAACTTAAAAAAAAAATCAGGGCCTATTCACAAAAGGTGGCATAAACGTGTCCGATAATTTGGAGTGTAGAATCACCAGAAAAGTTGGATCCAAATCCGTGACATACCAACCTAGTCATCCCCTTGTAAGTCTAATATTCAGTACACTGATGATGGATTTATAGCAAAAAATAATTAGGTAGGTAGCTTAAATCCAAAGGGGGTTGAGTTTTTATTATACACACTACTGGTTCGTTTTTCATATATGTTTTTAATATATATTATTGTATATTTTTCATATATTTATTGCAATCTACATAAAAAATTCAGTAAAATAATATATTCACATAGTTGATTTGAACAAGTAGAAAGGCGAAATAAAACAGAAAATTTCAACTAAAAAAAAAAAAATGACAAAACCTAGGGCATCTTCAAAAAGAGTGGCGTATACGTGTCCGATATTTTGGAATGTATAATCACCAAAAAAAAGTATGATCCAAATCCGTGATCTGGTTATCCCCTTGTAGCAGGCGAAACTTAGTTGATTCTTTTAAGGTTTTAATTCATTGTAATTTGCTGCCTTGTGTTTAATTTAAGTAGCATAACTCAATTTTGAAGCAGAACAGTTGGACTGACATGGGACTGTCAAGCCCCAATGTTCGACGAATATGGCGAGATTAGACGGACCGCAGCTGGATGAACTATTTATACGTGGGCGTAAATTCCCCAAAGTTGACGTCTGTTTTAGTGACCGGGGCCGTCCGCCGGGTCACGCACGGTGCAGACGCTCCCTCGTCTCGGCGGCGTTAACCTTTCTTTTTTTCTTTTCCGACGTATCCAGGCCGAGATTCTGTCGAGTTTCAAGTTTTTGTTGTTGACTTCACACTTTGACAACAGTTGTCATTTATCGGGAGGCCGAGAGTTGGCTCGTTTTTCATCCAAAACTCGCAGACCGAGCGCCCACCCGATGAGGCCCTTTTATCCTTTTATCGATTTGGATTGTTGAGGTAACGATTTGACCGCTTTTCCTCCCTTTTATTTTGTTTGACATTTTCGATTTGTTTAAACCCCTATTTTCTAAATTATGATATATCTCGCAACCGACTCTACATTCTTTTTATTTATTTCCTATTCAAAACATTTCCTTACAGTTAAAGCTATTAACTATAATTTTCGCCTTAAATACCATGAACTAATTTAACAGTTTAATTCAGTAAACAACCTACACTAAATTCAATTTTACTTTTAATCACAAAACTTATTAATTATTACTATTCTAATTAGTTTATTAAAGCACTATCTAAGCTTATTTATAAATATTGTATCTAACTAGCTCAGTGTAGGCTTAGTTCGATTTTTGGTTTTCCCAACTTGTAAATGCATTGTATTTTACTAATTTCACCCCTTTTTGATTTGGGTTTTATTATTATTGCAATCTGAGACCATTCTGTGCTCTGTGTGTCCATTATTAATCAAAATTCCCCAAATTCTGGTCCTCTGATTCAGCTTACTCTAAAATAGGCCTTATTTCCACCAATTGTACAAATTAGATAAAAAAATGTATCCTACTCGGTTAATCAGTGCAGTTTACAAATTTCACTCCTATCCTGTTAGGGTTTGATTATTATTGCAATCTGAGACCATCCTGTGCTTTGTGGGTCCAGTGTGAATCAAAATTACCCCAATTTTGATCTTCTGGTTCGACAAACATACTCTAAAATAGGCCTTATTTCCACCAGATTGTACAAATTAAATTTTTAAAAAATTATCCTACTCAGTTAAACAGTGCAGTTTACAAATTTCACTCCTATCCTGTTAGGGTTTGATTATTATTGCAATCTGAGACCATCCTGTGCTTTGTGTGTCCAGTGTGAATCAAAACTCCCCAAATTTTGATCTTCTGGTTCGACAAAGATACTTTAAAACAGGCCTTATTTCCACCGGATTGTACAAATTAGATGGAATAATTTATTCCACTTGATTAAGCAGTGTAGTTTACAAATTACTCTCATATCGGGTTAGAATTTTAGTATTATTGCAATCTAGGACAACCCTGGACTTTGTGTGTCCTGTATCAATCAAAATTCCCTAAATTTTGGACTTATAGTTCGACACGATAGTTTAAAACGGTCATTTTCTGCTTACGGTCATTATACTGAATACATCATAACTAATTTATTTAACTCAATAGTGCAATGCATTTTACAAATGTGATCCCTATCGCATTAGGATTTCATTAATGTTGCAAATTAGACAAATGTAGGACAATCTTGTGCCTTGTATGTCTGGTATGAATCTTGAATGTTTCTGGTTCAACAAGATAATGTAAAATGGGTTGACAGCCGTAAAAAATAAATAAATAAAACTGTATTTTTCTGCCAGATTATACAGAATACATAAGGACTAATTTAATTAACTCAACAATGCAATGAGTTTTTCAAATTTCGCCCCTATCAGGCTAGGGTTTTATTAACCATAATAGTTACTAGTGGATTTGAATTAAAACTATCTGTTGTTCGTTAGTTTACAGCGTGTGCAATGTGAGCGTATTGTACAATTGTAGTTAGGGTTCAAACCGTTTTCCAAATACTAGGAAATATTATAAGGGCAATGCCTTGGATTTGTACCCAGAACCCACTGCATGGCAATAATTTAAAGCACAACACTTCCTGGCCAATTTATCCTAATTGGCAATTTGATTTTTATAGGAAAATTTGTGTGCAGTTTGGTTTGTCTTGAATTATAGGGTTCATTGTCAAAACTGTTTTTTTATTCTTGAACTTGCTTGACCTGATATCATTCGTTCTGGTTCAATATAAACAAGATGCACCAGAAGTCAGAATTAGCATTTACAATTCTGCTCTATTTAAAATACTAACAGTCTTTAAGTTACAATTTATAAAATTATCTCAAGTTTGGAAGAGAGTTGACAAATTATCAATAACTTTGTTGTTTTTCTTCAAGTTCAATCATCCTGCAGACCATCAAAATTTAAAAATTTAGTTTTGTTATGCAACTGTACAAAAATTTGGTGAGAAGAATTGTTTTTATAAATTTTTCATTTCTTGTGATTAAGTTGCAAAAAGCCTAAATTTACACTCGATAATCCTTATTAATAATTTATAAAAAAAAAGAAGACACTATTGTTAAGATATATTTTAAGCGTAAAATAAAAGATTACCCTTGATCGCTGGGTTTTATGCGAATAAACAATTTGTTTTTATTATATTGGCTGTGCAAATAGTGGTTTTATTTGTAGGCATGATGTGGTTTGATAACCAGGGGAGATAATCTGTGTACTTTTCTCAGTGGTGATTTTCAATGATGTACATTTAATTGTTAATTTAAATGTTTAAGCTATGTACAGTCTTTATTCTAGTTTGAAACTTTTTTCTGTTAGATATCTGCGATTGGATGAACTCTTGTGAATGCTTATCATGGTCATTATTGCTGATTGTCATGGCGATAAATTGCTTCATCATGCAGCCATTGGTGTATGACATCAGAAATGATCAAATGGCATGTTTGCATTTCATTTTTATTGATTTTTTTCTCTGGTTTTAGTGTTGTTGTTTTTGTTTTGTTTTAAATTAAGCGGTGGTAAAATTTTCTGATTATAGTTATTGTTTTTTTAGGATGGCAATTGCTGAGGTGGTTCCGAAAAAGGAGGGTGAAGGAACTGGGACTGCAACTGAGGCAAGTATCGCTTCAACTATAAGAAGTTATGATAAAGTTTTGAGATCAGCGCCAAAAAGGACATATTCAAAGTTGAAAAGTTTTAACTTTAGCGTACCCGAGGGCTGGTCGAACGACGATATAGCTGTGTTTTTTGACAGCTGCAAAAAACACCTTGAAGATTTGAAAAACAACACAGAAGACGATCTCAAGTGGTCGAACATTGCAAAGAGCGGTGCAGCTGCCTCGTTGAACCCGAGCTGCTTCACAGTCAACCAGTGCATTGAGCTCGGCCAGAGTGTAGACGCATACATTAAAAAGTACAAAGAAATCTTGAAGAACGACGAAGTGTTCAAGCAGCTTTGCTGTGACGTGAAAGAGATTTTACCACATTTTACATCATCAGTTTCTGAAACAAAAAGGATGAGACGCTGCAGCAGGAGCAAGTCGGCTGAAGAGACGAATAGTCAAGCAAAAGAGAGTGTTTTAGAAATGTACATCATTTCGATAGGTAAACAACATCTGAACCTTTTCACAACAAAAGGCTCGCACACACCCCATGTATGGAAGCTGATCTCTAAGAAAGTCAAAGAAAAGACCAACATCAACGTTGATGTTGAGAAACATCTTGAAATGACAAAGATGAAAATTATAAACGAGGTCAAATCAGAGGCTGACCCGATTCGCAAGGAACAGCTTTTCCTTGAGCTCACAAAAAACTATTTGGAATTTTTTGATTATATTCCGCCCAAATCGATCAAAAAGTCTGAATTCGTTCAGACGAGAATGGATCTCGTAGAGGATGAAACATTCCAGGAAGATGTTCAAGACGAGGTCCTCTCTGATTCTGATAAAAATGGCGAGAGGAAAAAAATTTTCAGAAGACAGAGGAAGACCAAACTAGACGTTCAGGAGCCTTCAGTTGGAGCGGATGTTCCGGTTAATCTCACTCCGCCGGAAAAGAGTTGCTTCTCGGCTAAAAACCACAATGAGGGGAAGGTACAGCATGCAGGAATACAATACATGCCTACTCCAGAAAGAGAATTGGATGAGAACGCAAGGGAAGAATCTAATACAAATCAAGTAAATACAATATCAATAGACGAAGCACAGACTTCACCTATTAGAAAGTACATGAGAAGCTCGACAGTTGACGAATCCATCCCTGTTGAAAGCCCTGGCAATTTAATGGAAAAAAATGAGGATGATAACAACACTAGTTCTGAAATTAAGATTGACACTTTGCCAAAAAGAAAAATCATGAATGATAATCAAAAAGAGGTGATATCAGTTCATTCAAATCCTTCCAATTTTGATGAACCTGAAGCATCACCTGCAGAAAATAAAGACCTCATGAGTCAGGAAGACATGGAAACACCGGTGAAAGGAAGGCGTAAAAAGGCCATCCCAATGAGAGTAAAAGAAAACCCTGATGGCTTAGAAGAAGGTTCAGTTGATTTGAAAAGCACCGAGGAGAGAGATGATCAAATTGATCCTGAAGATGCCGAAAAGGAAAGTACTGAAAAACACAAAAACAGAGATTCAGAAAGTAGTAGCAATTTGCATTTGAAAACTGCCGAAAAGGAGATTAAAGAAACTTCTGAATTTGATGAGAAAGAAACAACTGAGAGTAGAAAATCTCAAGATGTCAATGACGAAGGTGAAGAGGTGGTGAAAAAGAGAAAAAGGACTAAAGGGAATTTTGTGAAAGGCTGGCCTGACAATGACGTACTGCTTTTTGTAGATATTTGCAAAAAAAATGTTGACATTTTAAAAAACGGAGGGAACGACAGGTGGAACGCTATCGCAGATTGGTGTTCTAAACTATCTCAGAACCCCGATTGTTTTAATAAGGAAAGCTGCGCTGCTTTGGCCTTTAGGATCAAGGTGCAGCTGAAGAACCCGAAAAAGGTAGTCAATTGTAGAAAAGAGAGTCAAATGAAGCTGTACGACCTGGCCTTCGACCTGCTGCCCTACTTCCAAAACGATGATCCTAAAAATGATTTTGCCCTGAAGGAAAACGCCGAGAATTTGAAAAAAGCAAGTGAGATTACTAAGGAGAAAGGAGATGAAGAAAGCGTAGTTCAAGATTCCCCAGCCCCTAAAGTAAAAAGAAAGCGTACGCGACAGCTTGTTCTTTCGCCTTCGAGGATCATGCCAAAAAGAAATGTCAAAGATCAAGAAACAGCAAGTGCAAAAGAAACTACACAACTTTCAGAAGAAGAGAACGATAAAATTGTTCACAATATAAAAAATTCCTTTGTCTTATTGACAAAATGCGACGAAATGGAAAGGATTATGGATAAGGAAAGCCCGCCTGTTAATTTAGACATACATTTATGCGAAACACTCTCTGAGCTCCCAGTTAAAGTATCCAAAGAGGAGAGGCTGAAGAAAAAACGTGGAAGACCCAAGTTGGATAACAGTCAAAAACTTGAGAGCCACAAGGGTGAGCGAGTAGATAGTGGAGAAAAAAGTCCGGAGCCGAAGGTTCCTACGAAAGTCAGGCGTTTTAATAAATCTCAAGAACCAGAAATGCTAGAAAGACCAACAAAACCCATGCGCAAACATATGCAGAAAGATAAAGACCACCATAGCGCGAGAAAAGAACCCGAGGAGATCAAAGAAATTGAAATGAACGATTATGGAAAAACATTAAAGAAAAATTCTTCAAAAATTGTGGAATTCCTTTTCAAAGAGTCTCCTTACAGAGATGAACTTACGTCATCAACACCAAGATCAAATTTACGTGAACCTTATTTACCAAAAAGTAATCTGGAGGTGCATTTCCACAAGGAAGGGAATTCGAGTGTGAACGTTTTGAGAGAGAAGGAGATACGATCGCCAGAAGTAAGGCCTGAAAGGACGTTTAATAAGTATATAAACAGGGAAGCTTATGATAACACTCCACCTAGTTTGAAAAAAAAAATTGAAGATTTCGTCGACCACGAAGTCAGGAAAAACGAGGAAGAAAGAAACCGCCTCCTAGGTCCATACAAGGTAAAATATTGTGACAGATACGAGCCTAAAAGTACTCATCATTTCCAAGACAAAGACGACTATAGGAGAAGTTTGCCGAGCACGTCACACAGTTTTAATATTGATGAGCCAAAGAGGATCCCAAACAGGAGCCACGAAAGGTTCTATCCTCTCCCATCCCAGAATAATTACAGGTCAGATTTGAAGATGAAAGAGTTGACCAGGTACAGGCGGGACTACGACAGGTTTGAATTGGCTGACCGGTTCCAACGCCATCCCGAACAGCACTGTCACAATTACGAAGACTTTGAAATCGCACTCGGGACTGCCCCGCCGAAATGGTTTCAGCGGTTTGCCAAAGAGTATAAAAGCCATGAGGAATGGAGGCTACATCAGCTAATCAAGATGCAACAAGAGCATATAATTGTCGAAAAACAGAAAATTGATATACTTAACAAGATCCTTGACAGACTGGAAAGAGTAGACGAACAATAACTGAATTGTTCAATTTAAAAAACAATAAAAATCTCATTGATTAGTTAAAAACAAACAAATATTTTAAACTTGTAAATAGAGAATATATTCATAAAAAAAAGAAGACATATGTATAATGAAACCACAAGTTATTTCAGATTTTTTGATAAGAAAAAATTTTTTTATGCTACTCAAATAAAAATAAATCTTGTACATATATAAATATAAATTTGAAGTTGTAAAATAAATAGTTCAACATTTGAAGCATGAGCCAGAAGAAATACATTTAAAAAACTTTGCCATTTATCATTTTGTACAAATAAATAATATTAATTTTATTCGTTTTGAAGTAATACCTTTATATTTTGACTGTGTATTCTAAAATCTTTATTTTTTTAAATTGAAATTTAAAAAAATAAATAAATAAAACATTATTTGCTAATTAAAAAAAAAAAAAAAAATCCATGCTCAAGAATCGGACCCAGGCGAAGAACAGAAGATGCGAAGAACAAAGAAGAATGAAGAAACTTGAAGAGAAACGAAAAATTAAAAATCACTTAAACAGAAACTTTTTTTTAAATTGAGTTCTTTAAGTTAAAAGCTTGTTTTTTAAAATGCTTTAAATTAGTTTAATTTTTATTGTAAAAAAACTTACACTTAATTATTTATTTTAATAATTTCAATTTTTTTAAAGTGATTATATTTGCAAATAATAAATAACAAGACAGTATTGGAAGCAGAATTGGCCAAGATGGAGAGAAGAATGAAGAAAGAAGATACCATGGGGAAAAAATTCAAATTTAAAAATTTATGTTTTAAAAATTAAATGTTCACTTCATCGTTAACATTAAATAGTGTTCCAGTTGATTTTGTGTAGTTTATTTTTATCTATTTATTTTGACGAGTTTGTAAAAATTATTATTAGAAAAATAATCAAGACAGAATAAGTACATGATTAATTTAAACATAATTGATCATATTTTTTAAATATTCTGCTTGTGCTTTTATTAATTTAAAGTTTATTTTTACAAGAATTCTAAATTTTTAAGTTAAATTCTGCTTATTCATGTCCATACTTTTTTTTTATATTAGATCATAATTAAGTTATTTTAATTCTGCATACTCGGGGCAAAAGTAGATAATTAAAAAAGTACAAAAAACATCATTATTGAGATTTTAAAGTTTAGACTTTTGGTACAAATTCAGTTTATGCAGTGTTTTAATTTAACAACCTGTAATTTGATCCTTACCAATTTCGGTCTGTCAAGACGTAGTATTTTACAGGGGCATTACCATAAATGTATTTTTTAGTTTTTAATTTTATATAGTTGGATTATCTCTTTCTCATGTGTCAGGCTCCCAGTATTTGTTGTGTTCTTTAGTTTCCAGTTCTTTTTTAATATGGCTACAGTTTTTGCCATATAAAGGATTTGGGCCTTTGTGTTGTTCCAAGGCTTCGTTTTATACTAGTATGTCTTCTGCCTTGTCTCACATTCCCTGATGACCTGGAAACCTTAGCATAATGCTATTTGTTAATCAGCTACTTTAGGCCGTTTAAGCAGTTCCAAATAAGTTGATTTTATAGGCTTGAAGAGCTGATAAAAGTTGCACTCTTGAGATGTTCATAATCTTGTGCACGTTTTTATGACTGGTAATTCAACTTGAATGATGGTTGCAGTTATGCCCAAGACAAATATCAGTTAGGCCACCTGCGTCATTTCCCAGAGAGTACACCATAGCTCTAGGTTTTTCTTGTTTTATCTTTCTGTTGTGCTCTTGGTTCAATTTTTTTTGGATGTGTTTGATTGTACTGCATGTGTTGATTTTTTTTGTGGAGATTTTGATTTGGTCAGCATTAAAGGTTAAAAGGAGTTGGCCTCTTTACGACCTAGCGAAATATCGTTCCATTGTGCATTGTCTATTATGAACTAGAGCTATTCTTTAGCCAAAAACATTTTTTCAGATCCCAAAGCATTGTTAAGGGACATATAATTTACATAGCTTCCCATTTTATCAAATAACTCATCTACTCACACCTTAAAAAAAAAAAAAAAAAAAAAATAGAGTTTCGCACAAGGCCCTCTCACATCCTTACAAAATAATGGCTGGAGTCCCACGTGGACCAATCCATGGCCCTATTCTGTTTAACCTGTACCTGCAGGCTGGCTCTCTTCACTAACAACCTTGCCCTATTCACATCATCATGGAGGCCAAGCACAGTAACAAGAAGGCTTAGCACCAATACTGAAGCTATTCTCTTCACCAAAAGAAGACCTGCAGTAATCAACCATGTCGTGGCAGCAGGAAATAGCATTACCTGTTCAAACATCTGGGCTTAACAATGGATAGCAGCCTGATGTCCACCAGGCATGTGGCAGTGCAAAACTCCTATGGGCCTGCTATCTACCTTCTACTATCGCAGTACTCTATGATGAGTGCTTTTAACAAAAAGCTCCTCTACAGCTGCATTGCTAAGTTTCATCCTCTACAATATCAGTATTTTTTTCTGCTGCTCCGAGTCTAGACATATACCTCCTGAATCTGCAGTTCCAGTCAGTTGTCCTAACAGCGCATGCCTCTATCCGTCTGAACTTAAGACTTATTTTTAACCCTTTGTCTCTTGATATATGGTTGTGTCACTGAATCCTGAAGGCCAATAAGTTTCCTGATTGAACTTTCCTTAGCCTTCCTAATTGCCCATCTGTCGGGGTACCCAAACAAAAGTAATTTTTCTGTTGTCCCCAATGTCTGACAGGGCTTTGATGCAATCATAAACAGCTCTGGACTTTACTTTCGATAAGGTAGTTGCCATTATTGTCTGGCTGTCCAATGAGAAGGCTATTCTTTTGTTGGTAAAGCCCTTTTGAGCACAATGTTCAATAGTCACAATCTAAGACTGAACGAATGAATGTTGCTCGCATAAATTCTAGTCCTTGGTTTATTTCCAGACGGCAATTCCTAACCTGTACTTTGCCTTTCATCTAGTCATCTGCATACAAAATATAGTCCGCATTAATTTTGATTTTCCATTCTACTCTATTGTGTATTTTAATAGGAAGTTTCCTATCAAATTGATATTTGGGGATCCTGGTGTTGACAGGTATTCCAGAACCTTGTCTATGAAGACTTCTACGGGCTCACAACCATTAAAAAACTGAAACATCTTGTTTGGTTGTACACATCACAAAAGATGGCAAAATGTGTTCCACAAGCAAACTACAGGCTAATCACCCCCAAGCCCCTCAATAAACTATCTAAGTATAGCTGTGAATAGCCATTCTATATTTTATTTTATCACATTGTTTAATAGTTTGAGCCATATAGTTACTAAGTAAATTATATTAATAATTAATGTGAGAAAACATCTTTTAAGTGCAATATTAGGATACTCTTGCCTTTCTCTTGCAAGTAAAATACATTAATTATTTATATGTATATAGGCCACAATAATTAAGGTGTTAGCATGTGGTCTTGACGCCTTAAGCATCCTAGATATGGATAGTTTGTGGCCCTGAATTCAAACAGAATGCACCTAGTAATGGGCTTTTCTTTCTTGGTCATATAACTACTGCTGTAACCCCCCCCCCCCAAATGGGAGTGAGGCAAGGTTGTGTTTCAAGTCCTACACTCTTCTCACTGTTCCTTAACCTTATTTGACCGATAGGATTGAAGAGTGAATGTTGCAGCTAGAAGACCAATTTGATTAAAATTCTAACATACAACTTAACAACTGGCTTCAGGTAAATAAAAATTATCAATATTTAAATTTAAAAAATGATCAACACCCAAAAAAAAAATCAATATAAGAATCAATAGAAGAAAATAAAAAGTGATTATTATAACAAGAAGAAAATATGAAATGATCAAAAAGAAAATAAAAAAAAATGACAAATAAAAAAAATGATCAAGAAGGAAACAAAAATGACCAATATGAAAAGAAGAAAATAAAGAAATACTAACAAGAATGGTCGGAATATCGAGTACCCCACAGACCCACCAAACTAGGATAGATATCTCTTTGTGTTTTTGGTAGAATGAATGTATTTATTGGCGCGAAAGTGAGTGTGTATGGGTGGGTTGTGCAGGAATATCGAGTACTCCACAGCCCAACGATTTAGGTTAGTATTAGGCTATATCTTTTAGAGTGAATGGGCGGAGGCACTGTTGTAATATTAAATGCGCCAGTGGCTCCGCATTTTTTAATTTGTAAATACAGAATGATTGGTTACTGTTTGAGTGAATGTATTTATTAGTGCGATAGTAGTGTATGCATGGGTGGGTCTATTGTGGAATATCAAGTACCCCATAAACCCACCACCTAGGTTAACGTTTTAGATTAATTGTAATTTTAATTGTACATAATGTATGGATGTATTTATTAGCGTGAACAAGGGCGGGTCTTCAGAGGAATATCGAGTACTCTGAAACCCGCCTATAGGCTAGGCTAGGATTGAATGTTAGTGAATGAGATAGTTTCAGAGCCTTTTCACCACGTGTGGGAGGGCTAAACATGTAGAAATAAGAACACAGAAATGTCCCAGAACAACCAGAAAGATCGCCAGACTTCCTACAGAAAAGCTAATTAAAAAAAAAAATTAAATAAATAAATTTATAAAACGTGAGGTGGAAGAAATGTGAGGTGCCGGCAATAGCCCAGGCAGCTAGCCGGCTGAAAAAAAAAAAAAACATCCAGAAGAAAACAAAAAATGACCAATATTAAAATATAAATAAAATGATCAATATGAAAAGAAGATAAAATATGATCAAATAAATGAGAAGAAAATAAAATATAACACGAAAATAAAAAATGATCACAATGAATATAAAAATGATCAAGAAGAAAACAAAATACAATAAAATATGACCAATAAGAAAAGAAAAAACCAATAAGATAAAACATTAACAACACAAAAACAAGAAAATAAAGTACAATTAATAGAAAATAAAAAATGACCAATATGAAAAGAAGAAAATATAAAAATTCGTAAGGCAAGACAACAAATAATGTAAAGCTTAAAAAATCAAAAGTAGGCCCAGTTGGTACAGGAAGGGGAAAATCGAGGTTGCTTCTACAATAATATAATAAAAATGTGTTTTTTAGCAACCAGTTGTTCTAATTTGTTGAAGTAGTGAGGAGCACCTTCGATGACACAAATAAAAGGCCGAAACATCAGTAAAAAAATGAAAAAGGTGTTTTTCTAAAATACTTCATTCCTGAACAAACCTCCCCACTTCAACAAATAATAATATTGGTGGCAGTTGGCTTGTAAGTCAGTGAAGTGTGAACAAATGATGAACCTGCACCAAGGTCAAATGAAAATGAATACGTCTGAAGATAACAAGGATTATGGCTTAAAATAGTTGGGCCTAAAAGTTGTGACAAAGAGTTAGAGAATTAATTTTTTAAAAATATAATTAGTTTATTATTTAAATGGGTTGAAATTGAATAAAGACAACTAATTTTTAATAAATTACACATGTATTAAAGAATAAATCTTTGGTCATAAAAATAATTTACTTTTTGTTTGTCTAATTTATCAAGTTTACATTTTTTAAAAATAAAAATAATTAAAATAAAAAGAAAATGTTTTTTACAAACTGTACACTCGGATCACATTAGGAAGCAAACGGAAGGAGGCCGAGCTTTTTGAGGCAGAGGGAAGCCGCTTCGCTCTTCGCCTGTTTCTTGTTTGGGCTTGGCGACGCCGGAAGGTAGTCGATGCCGTTCACGGTCACCTTGAAGATGAAATTTTTCTTGTGCGCTGGTCCTTCCTCGGAGCAGACGGTGAACACGGGTGGCGGGTAGTGCCTCCTTGTGCAGTACTCGACTAAGAGAGACACAGGATGTTTACCTGCATAAAAATAAATGTTCATTAAACTATACAATATTTTTTATTATTGATAATTAAATTTTACAACTTTATTCTTAATTATTTGAAATTCGATGATTGCAAAAATGTTCTGCAAGGCTTGTTGAAACATAGACAGAACATCCAGTATATCAATCATCATATCAAGTAATCAATTAAGAGCAATTAAACATAAAACAATTTAAAATAAATATGTGAAGACCGAAGTGTACCTTCAATTGACTTGACATTGCCAGTGTTGCCGTTTTTGGTATTTGGAGGTTTGATGGGAGGCTGGAGCACCCGCTGCTTCTTTGGCAGTTCTTCAGCGCAGACAAGCCCTAAGGGTGGGGGAAAAAGAAACGAAAAAGTAACCTCATCATAAAAATGAACATTAAAACAAACTTGCCTCGTTTGTCCATCTTGACCTGCAGTTTCAGGGGCTCAAGCGTACCTTCGTTGTTCTTACCCAAGCCCTCGCCCGGCCTCCAGCCCATCTTCTGCAACAGCGACATGCCCATCCCACCGCAGACGGGCTGCGCAGATATGAGCTGATCCTAAATAACGCCAGAAAAGATAAAATCAGAAAACGAACAGCCCAGGAGTAGGGGGAAAATAAGTCTAACTCTATTTCGCTAATTTGTTTTTAATCATAATATGCAAGGTGTTTTCCTTTTTTTTTTTTTTTTTTCTTCTGAAACAGTAATGGAAAAATTAATCAATAATTGTTCAAATTAATATGTATAAAAAGAAAAAAAACCGCTAATTTGATCAAACTAATTATTGCACTAATGATTATATGAACAGATAATGAACCCAAAGAGTAATTTTTAAGTAAAAAATCAATAAATAATAATAATGAAAAACAAGAAACCTCCATTAATCAACATACTTTTTATATAATTGCTTATAATTATCATCAAATGTAATTTTATGACAAACAATTCAATAGTCAAAACATTTTAAGGCCAAATTGTGACCAAAATTATCCATAATTCTTTGAAATCCTATTGATAAAAGTTTAAGGTATTTTAAAAGAAGTTTATGAGATTTTAAAGAAAATAGGTATAGAATTGTGTGATTTACTAAAGAAAATGTTTTAACCCCAGATGTTTATCGATACTGATTTTGTCAAGGTTTCGACAGATTGACAGCTGACCATTTAATCACATCTTGAAAGTTTGAAACAAATTCTGTCAGTATGTTAGCGAGATTTTAACAGAAATATTTTTATGAGGGGCAAAACACAAAAAATCCCTAGGGCAGAATTATCATTAGCGATATTGTCAACGTTCTAATGACAGATCGAAGTCCCTACCGTTTATTGTAATCTGTTCATGTAAGAAATTTTATCCCTTTGGATCAGATTCATCACCGATTGAAAATTTTCTAGAACTAGGAATTATATGAGCTGTATGTCGACTAGAATTGTTGGCCAGTGTGAAAATAGCCTGTTTAAAATGGCTTGACTTCTACAAGATGACAATAAGAGGAAAATGAGCATACCCGGTACATTGTACTTCTGAAAAGGTTCCAGGATCCCTGGAATGGTATTGAGAAGGTGAAAACAACTTGTGTTAAAAAAGTGAGTTTCGGATGGATTCCTCGCAACCAATTGTGCACATATCTTTTTGGTAATAAAGACTAAAGAACAATTGTTAAAAAACTATTTTACGTATTGAAAAGAAGTATACCTGGTAAACATAACAAAAATTAGAAAGAAAGAAATTAACAGAGGTTCCTATCTAAATAAAATGAATAAAAATAAAATAAATTTCCTTTTATGTATTTCACTATTCAATCTTTTCTTTTTTTATATATAATTAAAAGGCATTTCCTCTTGATTGTTGTTTAAAATGGAAAACAATTAATTTTTACACAAAAATTAAGGAAAATTGAATATTTTGTACCTGTCCGATATCAGTTGATAGGTAACTTTATGCCTTTTGATTTATTTAGTATTTCATATATTACACGCTATTTTACCTTGGTGACAACCACTTGCAAGCCGGCAGCCCTTCAATTCCTGTCAATTAACGGACACAAACGTGTTGATAAACTTCCTTGAGCAACCTGTTCTAGACGCCTGCAACAAATTTTCAGGTCTCCCAGTGTCCAGGAACGCTGGCGGCGTCGCCTGGACGTGCTTCCAGGCACCCAGATTGAAACCGTACGTTCAACGTAGGTGCCTGGGAGGAAAACGGCCATCGTCCGTGTTTAAATAATTTTTTTTTTATTAAAAAAAAAAGAAAAGTTTTGGAGCAGTTAAGAATAGCTCATCTTGCAAAAACGGGCATTCCTAACTGCTCCGAGACCTGAAAATTTGTTACAACTGGATTGAAAACTTTATTTATTGTTGTAAATAGAGTCTAAATAGTTAATATATGAAATATAGAAATGTAAGAATAATTTTTTTTTAAATAAATAAAAACAAATAATAAAGCTGTCAAATGAAATGTTTGTATAGTTAGTCAAATGAAATACGCATGGTTTTAATAAATAGGGTGAAATTACACTTTTTCTATAAACATTCTTTAATTTTAAATTAAATTGTTAGGGGGCATCGGTGGCCGCAAGGTTTAGGCATTGACACAGCGTTCATCACTGTAAGATAAAGGTCATGGGTTCGAATCCAGCGGCCCTACATTCAAACCCGACATACTTACAAATGGGCTTTTTTTTTTCAAAAACACCAGCACTCCGAGGGTTTTTATAACCTCTGCTGTTGTGAACCCTCGTTAAAAAATAAATTAATTAAATAAAATAAATAAAAAATAAATAAATTGTTATTATTTTACACACATTCAGGAGGCAGATACGTTAGAGATTAAAATGAAAGAAAGAAGATTAATTAATGAACGGCTACCAGTAGCAATATTAGACTATTAACACCTCATTCTTTCCCAGTTTAAATGGCCTGCTACCAGGAGCACAATTTTGTTAATAGGACCTTTCTTACGTTTCCCTCTTCTAGGCGTCCATGAGATTGATCTTTCACAAAAATAGCAAACAGTAGTATTGTAATATGATCAAAAAAATGTATTAATTAAATTAGTTAAGAATATCGCTTAAATTTCTTGTTTTTCTTCATATTTTTGTCTGTGAATCTACCGATTGTATTTTTTATGAAGACAAGGATTTTAAACAGTAAGGTTTTTTTTTTTATTAATAACAATATACTTAAATTATCCATAAAAAGTATGATTTTTATGACAAAAATTTGTGGTTTCACATCTCGCAGACAACATGGAAAAATCTCATAATTTTCTTTGCCTTTGTTTTGAATTATTTTCATAAAAAATAAAATATTTTTAAAAATGAAATTTTGTTGTTACCTATCACTTTGCTCTACCGTCCTCTCTGTGTTGATCTATCAGAGAATTGGCATTTTGTCATCTCCAGTGTGTCTCGACAGACCAAAATGATCGGCAATGATTAAATTTCAAGTTTCACTTTCTTTTTTATCCCCATCGTACTTATTAAGGATATTTAAGTATATTTTGGATTGCCAAAAAAGCAAAGATTAAAAGGTTGTCCTCTGCGTTTTCATTTGGCCAAAAATACATTTTTTTTTTTTTTTAAGAAAGAAAACAATGGAAAAAGCTTTCTTTACAATTTAAGTTTTTGATTAAAATGAAAAAAGAAAGAAAGAAAAAATAAAGATGTATATAAAAGAATGACTTCTAAGATTAAAGAACCAAATGTCTCTTCCTCCTATGACCAACCTTTCTCGCCCAAGCTTGTTGTCCGGATGCTAGCTCTGCCTGGGACAAAACTCTTGCTCCTGTGCTCCCTGTGAATAAGCCTGCTTGATTCTCCGCCCCAGGCCACATTTGCACCTGCTTTTAAAACAATTTATTAAAATAGATTTGAAATTTTATTTCAATGTTTAAAAAAAAAAATACCTTATTGAGTAAGTCTATTTGTTGATAGGGTAAGAGGGCGTTGGTCACTTCCTGCTGTTTCCTTATCGCCGCCAGCCTCTCGGATATGACAGCGCCCAGAGCATAATTGTTCTGAAATTTAGAAATCAACCTTTTTTTCGATTTTTACCCAATGAATTCCTTATGTTTCCTTACATACCTGGACTTGGGGTTGGTCCTCGGCTGGTGGGAGGGACGGCGGCAGAGGGATGTTGGCGAATGAGATGGTGGGATTTTCGACGGCTGGCTCTTTTGAAAGGGGGAAGAGTTCCGTTTCGGGTTTTGGTGACGGGGGCATTATCGCTTTCATTTCGCTGGCTTTCGAGCCAACAACTGGTACCCATTCACTCTCTAAAACATGTTACCTTTATTGGTAACTACTGTACTGATGATCTTTGGAAAAAAGGAGGGTTCTCGAGAAACCAGTACTACCTTCGGGCACCAATAATTAATACAGGGAAAATAGTGCGGTTAAAAATATTTATTATAATCCATAAATTAGATTTAAGATTTAACTTTTTTACATGACAAGCATGTAAAAAGCAGCGCATGAAAATAAAACAAATTTTCAAAACCTCCAACCCAATACATATATTAATTTTTTATATTAATAATTGGTGTATGTAATTTTGTAAATGGAAAACTTTCTATAGCTTTATTGCACTTGAATCTGTATAAATGTGTTGTAGTCGTAATTTTTAATTCAAGGGGATTTTAAGTCCCAGAATTTTATTTTTCATTTTAATATTTTCTTGATTTGAGCATAACAAGCATAAAATGCTATTATAATTCAATTACCAGTCTTTCTATGATGTTGCCCGCTCGAAACGGGGAACTGCAGTCTTAACTGTTGTGCGTGTTCTGTTGTTTTTTCCTGATGACTTTTAACAGGCAACGCAGCACAATTCTGAATTCAAAATAAATATATTAATTAAGTTACTCAACGTAAAAATTTGACATTTATTTTTAACATACTCTAATATTCATAACGATATTGTTTGGTCTTTCTTTCAGCTGAAAAGGATGGTGAAATGGCCTTTCATTCTCGTTGTCGCTCGAGCTTTCCGAACTAACAGACTCCTGCCCTGTAGCTTCTTTCTGGCTCAATAGCTTGCAAAAATCTGTCAATAAATTTAAAAAAGTTTTTTTTTTTAAACTGAATTATTACTTTAAAATTAATATTGTACAAGTTACCTGTAAGCTCATCGACGGTTTTCCCACCAGCTGTGATTGCAGCGACTTTGTTCAAATCAGTGCCGACCTGACCTTGTTTCATCATATTCAAAGCGTTTTTCCTAGCTATTTCTAACAGTTTGGATTTATCGATAAAAAATTCATCCTTACTATTACTTCTAAAATAAAATAAAATAAAACTAATATAAAATAAAATAATAAATAATAGAAAACAAAGAGATTATTACCGCCCGTCACTTCGGTATTTTGAACTCTTTCTTGGCGATCTTGACCTTCGAGGGTATCGATCCCTGGATTTGTGTTTCTCGTCTTTTTTCCTCCGCCTGCTCCTTGACCTCGATCTGAAGCGTTTCCTCTCGTGAGATTTGGACCTGCGATCTCTCGATCTGGACCTGTGTTTCGAGCTGCCTTCTTTCTCATCTTCTTTAACCTTGTAAAGGTTCTCCTTGTCCTTTTCCTTCGGTCTGGCTTCTTCAGGCTTCTTGTCCCGTGGCGGCGTTTTGCTCTTTGTCCTCGAACGCTTATGACCTCTAGAATGGGACCTGGATCTCCTCGGGCGAGAACTCCTTTTCGACTCCTTGGAATGGGAACGCTTTCGACTTGATTTTTTGTCTTTTGAGGGGTCTCTTTCAGTCGACTTTTCACTTTCATCTTTTGATTTTTTAGGAGACACCTCTTCTTTGGACAACTCTTTCGATCTGACTTTGTGATTTGATTTTTCACTGTGGCGTCTATCTTTTTCTGCTTTTCCATTGTTTTCATGACCAAAACTATCCCTATGAGCACTTGTTAAAAAAAGTTATACTTTAAATAAAATTATAACTAAATTAATACAAATAATCAATAAAAAATACTACCTAGAACTTCCAGAGCTTTTCAGACTTGCCAAACTGGAGGAAACTGAATAGAAAAGGGAAAAAACATTAAAATGTAAAATCTCATTATTTATCCTTATATGCTTATGCTAAATTATTTAAAATATTTACTGGGTAGATAAATTTTGTAATGGCTTGCAACTCTTATGGGTCATAAAACTAATGGCTGGAGAGAAGGCAAGGTAAGACAGTTTGCACGGGGGATACCATCTGGCAGTCCACCATACTCGATCAAACAATTTACTTATTTAAAAAAAAAAAAATACTGTAAGTAGAAGACAAGGAATGTGCCACTATACCACACTTTCAAGGCCTGTCTAGCTTACTGCAATTTTTTACCTAATCGACTAGATTTTAGATAGATCGGTCAGCCTTAGGAAATTCAGTTCTTTATTCTTTAAATAATATTAGACAAGAATAAGAGAGTATTTCCCAAAGTGAAAACATTCTGTTGGGATGTTGACTAATATTAATTTCTGATAACTTTGGCAAAATCGGACAATGCCCTATTCTCATATATTAAAACAGGCTGCTTTGACTTACAAGAAGAAGTCTTCCTCAGGGGCTCGGCCAGTGTGTCTAATTTGGCAGCCCTGTCAGCAAGATTACTACCATGGAAGGCACAATGTTCCTATACCAACAGGAATAGAACCAAGACATTTCCTCTGTTCTTCTAGTGTTAGGATTTCCTGGATTACAGTATTAAAGAAAACTGAATCTAAAAGGGCAGCCAAACTGATAAGATTTTGCCAAGACTACCACTTGAAAAAAATATTGTCAAACATACCACTTGAATTCCTCTGTCTCAAGTGAAAACATTCCATTAGGAAGTGCTTGGTTGATAAATTTTTGACAGTTTTGGCAAATCCATGGGTAAGCTGCAATGCCCTATTCTAAGACGTGCCAAGATTGCTCTAACAGCCATTGTTTAACTTCTCTCTTAATTGCCTTCAGTTTATTATTATTATTTTCTGAGAGGAAATGAACTAACCCTGATCGCTCAGCCCAGAAATAAACAAATAAATATTCAAATATTTACCTTTTTTATGTTTTGCCGATGACTCTTCTTCGCTCGTACTAAGTTCACCTTCTTCCGATTTTTCTGCTATTAGCTTGGCCCTCTCTTCAGCTATTTCGAGCAAGTTGCTGTTTTTCAGATTAGTTATTTTAATTGACATTTTAGGCTTTTCTGGGGGGGAAAATCGACATGTATCAGTATAAATATTGGTAAAAGTCATTAAAAAATTATTTCTTTTTTCTCTTTTTACTTTTCTCAGAGTAAGTTTATTATGCAATTGAAAATAAGAACAATAATGATCGCAGATGATCAAACTATTGATATATATATCAAAAATATTGATATATATCAAACTATCAAACTACTAGGTTCAACTTCACAGACCTCAGCATAATATTTTATAATTTATTTTTTGGTTTAATTATTATCTAATAAATGTAACTACTAATCTGTAATTAAATTAAGCATCTAATTTTATATTATTTTTTTTATAGAATAAGTTGGTTAAGAACTATTTAGATTTTACATAATTGGCTAGGCGTCAACAGACTTCCTTTTACAACAAAACTAATTAAATAAAAAAAATCTTTCATTTGTACACCATGCTTAACTAGAAAACTCGAATAAATTGATAAACGCTGTAAAAAAAATTTAAAATCAACCGTTTGTTATAGATAACAATGAGGCAAATTGAATAAATTAAACCTTTTCAAACTGAAGAAAATTTTAACTGAAAATAATCTTGAACAAAATAATTTTACCACGTTTAAACGAGATTCAACCTTACGCACTTTGTCAATACGGTTTTGTATATTTTTCCCTACAGAAAAAAAACGTCTGTGACATTAGTATAAACTGTGAGTCAACACGGTATTCTTATCTATTGTTTGTTTAATTTTCACACCGAGCAAACAAATAATTTTAATCAACACTAATCTAATCTTTCAAGGGTATTTTTATTTTTGTTTTTTTAATTCTAACTAAACACAAGTTTACATAGAATTTCCTTAATTTTTAACACATCATTCAGGTAAATAATTTTTTAAGTTATTGTTATTGTTGCAGGGTTCAGTTCAAATTCCCAGGCAAAATATACATACGCCTAAATTGGATGTATAGAGTAAGCAGTTTCAGTACTCCCCAGGATGTTACTTTTCAGTAAAGCCCAGGATTTTTTTTTCTTGCAATTTTAATTTGATCAGTATAAACTTTCTTTTTTAGATTAAAGCTAAATTTAAAAAAAAAAAATCTTTGTAAAAGGACTTACAACAACAATAAGCCGCACAAAGACGATCTGGGAGTAAAATGGAAGAAATGACAAAAATTGCAGCAGAGCCTCAAAGCTAAATACAAAAGAGATTTGGCGTTTTCTTTGACAGTTAAAAAAAACAGTGGGGTGAAAACTGACCTGGTGATCAGACATGATCAATTAATGATAACATTTCAACAAAACGAAAATACACAAAAATCACTGGAGCTACAAATTTTATAAAACGTGAAGACTTGTTGAGTAGGTCAAAGGGTAAGTAAGTAGATCAAAAAGAGCTATTAAGAAATGAGATGTTTGTATCATCAGACATTTAAAGCTTGTTTTTTTAGTGGTCTTCGCAATATGCTAAGCCATCAATGAATCGTAAGATCAGAGTCAGTTAAACTGTAAATACCTAAAAACCCTTCAAAATATCAAATGCATTGTTCATTGGACATGATGATACAAAAAGACAAGCCCAAATTGTAAGATCAAAGCTGAGTTAATTATAAATAATAACAAAACTCTTTCAAGAGAGGAGAAGCTTTGGTCAGCAGACATGACAATAAATGAGAAAAAAACCCACTTGTAAGATCAAACCCAGACAAGCAAATAAAAAGAGTTTTTCAGCTTATCTGTGGGTTTGTTCAATAGACATGACAGAACTGTAAGATGATCATATGATCATCAACCATGTGACTTTGTGCGAGCCAATATAATAGCCTTGGGAATATTTAGTCGTTTATAATCCTGGTCTACCTATATATATTATATATATTACACAGGGCGGGCGACCAGGACCCGAGGGGTTAAAAGCCTGAGTAGGCCCGTACCCCATCCCTAGAAGGTCCGGGACCTGGTCGGCTCACGAGTCCTGTATAAACCTATTGGACCTATTCACAAACCCCAGGGTTGTGGACCATTTTATCCTGGGGAGTGTTTTGATTATGTCCTCTCCTTCGAAAGTATTAAATCTTTCCCTAGCATACCTATCGCATTCTGCGAGGTAGTGTCGGGCCGTTTCTTCTTTTGTTTCGCAGAAGCGGCAGAAGGGGTCTGGTAGAGTACCCATTATGAAGAGGTGTCTTCTCAAGGGGCAATGGCCCGTTAGGATACCTATCAGCCTCCTTATTCCCCTCCTAGAGTTAGAGAATAGCCATTTCGATTCTTTAGGTTTGATTTCCTTCAGAAACTCCTTCGATTGTCTGCATCCTGGGGACATATTCCATTCCTTAAGGAATTGTTTCATGCCCCAGCTACCTATACTCTCTTTTGCTGTGCTTAAAGAGTGGGGTAATACCGGTTGTGGTCCGACGAACTCAGTATTTGAACCTTCCTTGGCCAGGCTGTCCGCCTCCTCATTGCCATAGTGCCCCTTGAGTGAGTTTGTCGGAAACAAAATAATAGCCTTGGGAATTTGTATAATTAGCCTGGTCTACCTAACAACACTGTCTTCTTTTTTATTATTTGGGTCAGTTAAATATTTTAGGATAATCATTGAAGGAAGACAATTTTTAAGACGTTGGGTATTTCCTGGGTGTTGAGTCTGCTGGGAAAATCTTTTCTGTGATTTTTGTGGTATTATATTTGTTCATTCTGGGCTAGGTGGACCTTGTACTTTCTCTCAGAAGAATCTTAAAATAGCACATCATTCGCAGGAGAAACCAACGTAAATTGAAAATATACACCTCTTTAGTTATTCAGATTCATCCCAGGCCATACAAAAAGATTACAGAAGAAAGAACGAAAATAAATTTGTTCCTTTTGAGGCTTGTGCAGTGATAAGATCATCTCTGATCACTTTGGCCTAAATCAACGAAAAATATTTTAACAGAACAAGACATGGCCTGCTTGTCAAATCAGAGGTGATCAAACTGCAAACAGCTTTAGAAAAATGCATGGTTTTTTTTATTGGGCATGATAAAACCCTAAGACATGACTGATTTGTAAGATCAGAGCGATCAAACTTCAACTACTTGCAAAGAGCTTTTAAATGATGAGAAGCTTTGGTTATCGGGCATGACAAAACTGTAAGACAGCTGATTTGTAAGATCAGAGCAGATCAAACTTCCACTGCTCGCAAAGAGCTTTTAAGAGATGAGAAGCTTTGGTCATTGGACATGACAAAACTGTACGATAATAAGGGCCAAAGTTCTAACTTCTAATACTTACAAAAAGCTTTCAAGTATTAGACAATACGTTAAGACACGGCTGAAATGTACGATCAAAACTTATCAAACTACAAATACTTGCAAACAGCTTTTCAGCTATGTTTGTTCAGTGGTCAAAAGAAAACCGTAAGACATGGTCGATTAATATGACCAAATCCAATTAAACTTTTACACCGATGAGGCCTGACATTGTAAAATATAGCTGAGTGATAAAGAGAAAGTTGGATTTCTTACCAGTCGAGTTGATGAGCGATTTGGCAGTGTTCTGATCCCGGTTTTCAGAACGATATTCCGAGTCTTCAAATTTGGCCGCGTCGAGTTCCGCTTTGTCGTCTTTTTTCGGGCTGGCAGCCGGCGGCAGGGGAATCTCGTCGACAGGCCGGGCTTCATCGGGTGGTGACTGGTCTCGGCTCTCATCACAAGGCCGTTTATCGTCTTTTTCCTTCTTCTGCTTTTTCTTGTCTTTGTCTCTCTTTTTCTCCTTGGACTTGGACTTCTTGTGCTTGTGTTTTTTTCTCCTCTTGGACTTCTTACCGTCCTTGTCTTCTTCTCTGCGACGCCTCTTCGACTTCCTCTTCGTCCTCTTCTCTGCGGTCGTATCGTCCGTGTCCGATTCAGCTTTCTGCAGGACGTTGATCGAATCGAAAAGCTCGTTGAGGATCTCGTCCGACGTCTTGCTCACTTCGGTCATTTCACATCGAATATGTATTTTTTTATCGGTCTGATTAAAACGACGGCATCTGAATTCTGAACCGACTTACACGAATAGTCGGGTTGCGCGTTATAGAATTAATATCAACAAATTATGACTGGTATGAATTAATAACAAATTATATTTATAGTTTACTCGGCTTGGGGTGTAAGTCAATCGACATCAGTCTCACTCTCACGGGTTAAAATCGGAAAACAAACAGGCCGACGTCCGCTGCCAGCGTCCATTTTGTTTTTAAGAATCAGCTTACTAAATAAACAACCACGAGCGCCACCTGCTTTCGACCAATATCGAACTACGGCGTCATCAATCTTGATATGCTTCATGATTGATTCACCATTAACAATTGTCAAATCATGTTCTGTTTTTTAAAATTACACCTTATTGAAAAAAAATTTCATAAGTTTAATTAATGTTAATACAAAAAATTTGATTAACACTTAAAAAAACTTACCTTGCGGAACAAGAAAAATAATAAATAAAAAACTTCCCTTAAGGCCACCTGACGTCATCAATCATCTTAAGCCTCATGATTGGTTCTCCAACATTTGTCGAATCATGTTCTGTTTTTAAAATTACATCTTAGTGAAAAAAAAAGTTTAATTAATAATGTCAATACTAAATTTAATTAACTGTTAAAAAAAACTTACCTTGTGTAACAAGAAAAAACTAAATTAAAAACTACCCCAAGGCCACCTGACGACATCAATCATGTTAAGCCTCATGACTGATTCGCCACCAACATTTGTCGAATCATGTTCTGTTTTTATAATTACTCTTTGTTGAACAAATTTTTCATCAAAATTTGAGCAAGCCACTGTGCTTCAGAATAATTAAAAGACAATTAAATCAATAAATAAAATGTCATGGTAAAAGTTAAAGAGGTGTAATAATAAAAAACCTATGTAAAATATTAATATCAAATATAATGGTAACAAATATACAGATTTTGATTTTTAGAATACATGATAACAATACATTTATTATATAAATGAAAAACAATAATGCAAAACTATTAAATAGGGCATTTCTTCTGCTTACAAAAATACAAACTAAGAACGCAGTACTTTTTTCCCTTAAATTGCATATACATATATTTATTAATTACAAAATGTTTTATTTCAAATTTCCACACATCACACATGCTTAGTATAAAAAATAGATCTTCCATCCAGTGGTTTTGAATGTTGTTTTTACTAATACACAATTCACTTTTCATATTGAAAAGCAAGAAAAATGTTATCACATACATATAGAAAAAAAACAAACAATAGCATTGAGTTTATGTAATAATTAAAGCTTTTTATTTACAAAAATTGGTCCTCTTAAGTACATTGTTATTTATTTATTGCAAAATTTTGGTTAGCCTTATTTAAAAAAAAAAAAGAATATATAAATAAAGAGGTAAATAGTGCGTATTCGTTGGACAGGCCATTGGCTTTGAACAGAAAGACGTGCTTACTGCTTAATCACAAATTTAAAAGAGTATAGATTGAAAGGAAACCATCAATCTTCAAAATCAGTTATGTCTTGTACGAAACAGAATGGAAACTGTCCCCTCTTTCCTTCGGACTCACCGTACAGCCAGTCATCATTGATCCATTTTATAACATCCACTTTATCCCCTTCCTGGAAATAAAATCATTTAATTGAAATGTCTGATGAAGTGTGCTTTGTCAAATTATTACATTCAACTCTAGGTCATCCCACGTTTCTGCCTTGAATGGAAATACGGCTATGACTTTCATTTTTCCTTTTGTGTAATTGTCAACTGGGACGATCACGTCAACATAGCTCTTGGGGAAGATGCCCTCTTTGCCATCAAGCTTGCCCTTGAGCCATTCCTCGCTTACCTGCTCCGTCAAAACTATCTTGTCTCCTGCCTTTTATTAAAAACAACATAATTCAAACATTAAAAAAAAAAAAAATTATCAAAGCCTACTTTAAATGGTAAATCATCAGGATGGGTTGATGCAAAGTCATATAAAGCTACACAATATGGCTCCTCGTCCTGCAAAATAAAAATAATATATAAAACCAAAAGAACAAGTTTTTACTTAACTAAAGTAAACAAAATTTTTTTTGCGAACTCTTTACTAATTGTACTGCCTGTTCTCTAAACAAGCAACAAAATGGACTAAAAACTTGATAATCAAGACTCAGTACAAATTTCAAGAGATGCAAAGTGTTTTGGTGGTCAAAATTTAAGTACAGGTGGATCATGATGATTTGGGAAGGTCAAATAGTTGATTTACATGAGAAAATTGTTTTTATAAAAACTAAGTAATAATCTCAGTTTATGTGAAAAACGTAATGCATAAACTGACGCAAACATAAAATGTAATTATGAAAGTAACCTTGATTGCACTTGTTCCAGAGGGCCTTGGTGGGACTTTGGGACCGTTGAGAAGCACTCCAAGGACTTCTGGAGGCGGTGGCGGCGGAGGGCATGACGGCATAGGTGGAGAGCCTTCTTTCTCTGTGTATATTTTTAAATCTTCCCTCGAACCGAAGCAAGCCTTAGGCGGAGGTGGCCTCATCGGTTTGCCTTTGTCCGTCAGAACACAAATTATGGTTGGTTTGGACATATTGATTGGCTTGGATTTTGGCTTCAGCTGATTCTGGAAGTTAGTTGGTGATGGAGATAAGTCCGAACTGTTCGACCACGGATCGTTGCTTGGGCTGGTCGCCGATGATGATATGAGAGAGTTGAAATCATCTTCAAAACCACTTTCCGGTTGTGACCTAACACAAAAACCAAATTATTAAATATTATGATTTTTTTAACTCAAACACAAAACTAACGTTTTTGTGATTGTGTTTTTACTAAAAGAAAGACTGTTTTTCAATTTATTTTCAAACAACGGGCTACTTGGTGGTGACTGCAAATCTATTAGAGTTCCAGTCGGTATTGTTACAGGAGGTGGCGGCATCGGCTTGACTACTGCAGTTGCTGCGACTTTCTGTTGTTTCTTTTTACTTGTGCCAAAAATACTCCTACTTGTCTATAAATTAATACATGAACTATTAATTGACGTTTTACACTGACCATTTCTGAAATTTGATAAATATTTGATAGCTCAATTGTGGGTAATCATGTTCTAAGAATAAAAAACAAAATATTTAAGCAACTGTTTTAAATTTATTCTCTTTCTTTTTGCTTTCACACTTTTGGATTTGATAAAATTTTTTTTACCTGGATTTGTTGTTGAAGTTTCGGCGGCGGAGGACGAGGTGGTGGGACTTTCTTGTCAGATTTTGCGCTCGTTTTCTGCTTGACTGGGCTAAATGGGTCCACGCTGAAATAGTTGTTTGCAAATTTAACAAACCCATTTTGAAAAAAAGAAGTTTGAATACACACGTTCACATACCAACTCACCTAATCTCATTCACTTCGCTACTAATTTATCTACTCACTCATTCACTTAAAAACTCACCTACTAACTCATTCACTTTACTATTAATCACCACATTCATTCTCTTCACTACTAACTCAACTACTCACTCGTTCACTTTACTACTAATCACCTACTCACTTATTCACTTTAGTACTAATTAATATAGACACTCACTTATTTACTTATGAACTCACTATTCACTTCACTATTAATCACCTACTCACTCATTTACTTCACTACTAATCATCTTCTCACTCATTCACTTCACTACCAATCACCTAGTCATTCATTCACATCACTACTAGCTCACCAACTCATTCATTCATTCACTGCTAACTCAACTACTCACCATTCATTTCACTACTAGCTCATCTACTCGCTCATTCATTTTACTACTAACTCACCTACTCACTCATTTACTTTACTAATGATTTATCTAGTCACTCACTTGTTTACTTACTAATTCACCCACTCACTCATTCACTTAATAACTCAGCTACCAACTCACAGAGAAACAGATGCCTCATCCACTTAATTACTTTAATTACTCACCCGCACATTCAGTCTCTCTTATTTGCTTAGGTATAAAACACTCATACCAATTTGTTCATGCTTTCACTTTTTTTTCTATTTTTTTCATCTAAGCAAACATCTTGAAAGCTAAAAATATAAATGTTTTCCTGATGTAACTGTCATACTCTATCAAAAAAACAAAGCCAAAATTCAACTACAGCTATCAAAAACTGGGACACTGGCCATTAATTGATCAAATAAGAATGCAACAATTTCACTCTTTCACACAAGTACACCACTAAAACATACAAGACAGATTTATTTGATAATAGAAGTTGATATAGTGAAACAGAAAAGAACCATTAATTTAATTTTTTTAAAGTATTATTAACATTGCCAGCAGTTTGTTTCTGATCATACTGGAACCCTTATTTTTTATTGTAATAATTTAAAACAGCAGATCTGCTTTACAGATACTACTATACAGATCCAGGATGGTCTGAAGCTGTTAATTGATTTTCGACGATTCATAGGCATAATCTAATCTGTTATATAATTTTAATTAGTTAACTAAGCAAGCCAGGATAATAGGTAATCAATCTATGTACGAACATCACATAAAAACCAGTTCAATTCAGTGTACAGTTTTAATTGCATTTCTTTTTAAACTGCGAAATAATTTATAAATGGTAAATAAACACGTTTGTTCTTTTAATATGGCATCTTATGGCCTCTTAAGCTGCTTATCAGATTAATTAAAACTGAATATTTATATGGGTGAAAATGAGCACACAAGAGGGAAAAAATTCTGATGTAAACACTCCCAAAATTTAGCATAGGATAAATTTTACTATGAATTCAAGAATAACTAACTTGGGATATCTGTGGGTTATGTTTGCTTTTATAGAAGTAATTACAAAATTGAGACTGGCTTAGCCCTCAAAGCTTCCAAAGCAAAAAACAAACACAAATAATAACAATTCACTTATGTTTAGAGGTCTAATTAACCAAATTACTTATTTCAATTGATTATTCTTTTTGATGGTGACAATGAAACAGTTAAGTGTCGCAAGCGGGATTAGAACCCACGACCTTCAGCTCGTGGCCCGCTTTATCTCAACCTTACATAAAAAGAATAATCAATTGAAACAAACAATACACCTACAAACCCTGGTCTAGAAGTAACTAAATCCTTCTCAGTCACAAGAAAAAGTAAACAAACTTTTAAACCACTGGTTTATTTAAGATTTTTAGATTGCCCTGGGCATCGGTTAACTTTAAACAAATTTTATCGAATTGAGTCAGAGGAAAACAAACATGCTGAGACACAAATGTTCAAAGGTCAGCAAAGCTAAACTACCTCACAACATAATTCAGCGTCTAAAGATTACAAAAGCATGTATAATGTAAATAAAAGGGGCAATACAAAAATAAATTTGAAAGTATGTAAAATATGTTTAAATATTAGGGCATAAATTAAGTTAATTGATCGTCAACCATGTGAGTTTGTCGGAAACAAAATAATAGCCTTGGGAATTTGTATAATTAGCCTGGTCTACCTATCAACACGGTCTTCTTTTTTGTTGTTTGGATCAGTTGAATATTTCATGGTGGTTTAATCATTGAAGGAAGACAATTTTTGAGAAGTTGGGTATTTCCTGGGTGTTTAGACTATAGGAAAAATCTTTTCTGTCATTTTTTTGGTATTATATTAGTTAACTCTGGGCTAGGTAGACTTTGTACTTTCACTCAGATGAATCGTAAAATATTGTTAAAAGGACGCAGCATGTCTGAAAAGCATTGAAATCGTGGGAGAAACCAACTTAAATTGAAAATATCCACTCTTTGGAATTTAAATTCACTACCAGGCCATACTAAAAGATTACAGAAGAAAATATTTTTTTTCCTTTTGAGGCTTGGGCATTGAAAGATCATTGCTGATCATTTTGGCCTAAATCAAGAAAAACATTCTTTCAAATCATCAAATTGCAAACAGCTTTTAATTTGTGACAAGCTTTTGTTTGTCAGCCATGACAAAACTAAGATTTGTAAAATCAGAGCTGATCAAACTTGAAATACTTACAAAGAGCTTTTAATAGGTGAGCTTTTTTTAAATGGATATGATAAAGCCCTAAGACATGGTTGATATGTAGGATCAGCGCTGGTAAAAGTGCTTGCATGAGCTTTTAAAAGGTTAGAAGTTTTTGTTCATTGGCCATGACAAAACTGTAAGACATGGCCAATTTGAAAGAAGACATTCAAGAGACAAGAAGCTTTGAACAACAGGCATTGCAATAAGTGAGATAAGACAGACTTGTGAGATCAAAGCCGGTCCAACTACAAAAAACTTTTCGGCTATGTGTGTGATTGTTCGGAAAAGATGACAAACCCTAAGACAATGATAAGAGCCGATCAAACTTCTATTACAAAAAACTTTCAAGGTATGTGAAGCTTTCGTCAGCGGACATGACTATTTGTTAATTGAATTGTACGATCAGAGCTCGGCAAACCAACTACATGTTTAGTCGGGTCAAAAATAAATCAACTTTTACTATAAGCAACACAAATTTAAGGCTTGTACATTTTGTAAAGTAATCCGTGGTTGAAAATAAACACAACTGATACAGTATTTTAAACGAGTTAAGGTCGATTGTGTGACTATAAGGTTTTTGGAATAGAAAAATATGACTGATAACTCTTATCAAGACTGATAACATATGGAACTCATTATCTTGAATGTGATTTAATCTAATATATGATGTTTAAGCTGACCGATTGGTATACTCCACAGGGGTGCAAAACTTGAGCCACATTGTTCGCCTGAAAAGCTTTCGAACAAAATTGACAACTTTAAAATTTGTACTTAGATAAACCAAAATGACTTTTTTTTATAACAAATACTATTGTTGTTTTGTAATAAACAGGCTTGATGTGTCAACATCTGTAGGGAATAAATTGTTAAAGGGTGTCTGAAGAATGTAAGGATTGGAAATGTACGTTACCACTCCTCGGTCTCCAAGTTCCTTCCTGATTTCCTGTTATTCGGGAGCCCTGGCGCTGGCCGCGTCGGCACCTTCAGCCCTGCCGTTGTAAAATTGAAAAATGGAATAATTTTGAGGAGTTTTCCAAATAGGATTTTGTTCTCGGGTGGGATGTACGAACCTGTGCCGTGTGATGCCATGACCGTTGTGATGATAACTGGCAGTAGGCAGACAACGACGTGTTTGTTGTCAAGTGTCGCCCCGCTTTTTTTTTTTTTTTTTTAAATCTCGGCGAGCCTTTTGCGCAAAATCCGGCCAGGAGCCGACGGCCGACCCCGAAATGTTCCTCTTTTCTCCTATTTCAAGGATAGACTATTTCATAATTAAGAGTGAGTCGCCCGTCGAAGGGCTCTGAACTCCGAAGTAGTCCAGGAGTTCCGGGAACTGTTTTTTCTTTTTTTTAACCACCGCCCAACATTACCAATAGAAACAAACAAACCCATAAATGACTTTAATTGTAACTGCAAAACAAAAAATTCAAACACATAAATGAAAACATTGCCTATTAACAAACAAATAAATAGAAATACGTTAAACAAAACTAACGCGAATTGTGGAGGGGGGCCAACGTTACATGGGTCAGTGCCCAGTGTTGGACCAGCAGGGTATCCAAAGGCAATATTGCTTCAGTGTCCTTGAGCCATTAGCATAAGCCAGCTACATTTTTAATCCAAGAAGCCAGACAGCTGCTCCCAGGCTCATAAATGGGCAACCATCTGCAAGGATAGGCCATGTAAATAGACAATGAGGGAGGACTAGGAGATGCAGAATGATGCCATATTAAGTAATGCCAATGTCACAACTCCACAACTAACCGAGAGTTTTGGTGGCCCTGAAAGGACTGGTGTTGAGCCATTGGCAGAGGTCGAGGCTGATGCTGCGAGTGCCCTTGCTGTTGAACTGGTGCAGTCTGCTTGTCCAGGTTAACTTGATAGTGAGAGCTTGTCAAGTCGACGAGCCTCCCCTGCTGTAATTAGTGAAGATGAAGTCGGCGAGCATGTGCCCCTGCTTATGTGCGGCGTTGTTCCACCCTGTCTGCAGAAATGGTGGTAACTGCAGGTGGTCACAACACAACTTTACTAAAAAGTACAAGGTACTGATTCCACAACTGGAAGAACGGGCCAAAGAGCACAGCTAAAGGCAAATTCCTACAAAAACGGCTCCAAATCTGGAAGAACGGGCCAAAGAGCACAGCTAAAGGCAAATTCCTACAAAAACGGCTCCAAATCTGGAAGAACGNTTGAAGGATTTCTACAACCACGTCTCTCGACATGAATTGCAAAAGTGAACCCGCCGATACCCCCGCCAACGCGACGTTCCAATGAGAAGCTGGTTTTTTAATGGCGCTCAATTTGAACGTGCGAAAAGCGTGAATTATAACACAAGTAAATATTATAATGGTAAATACTTAATATTATTAAATTATTATAAAAATAATAACATTTAAAATAATTAATTTAATTATTTGGCCGTTTAATATTATTTATGTACATATTTAAAATGGGAGGTAGATCAAAATCTATTATATTATTAATGCATTTATCTCCATGTTCAATTTTATATTTTTTAATTTCAAATTTCTCAAACCAATCTAGTTCTCTCCCTTTGTTGAAACTATGTAACACTCTTGTATTTAAATTTGAATTGAAATTATGTTTTGTTTCTTTTAGATGGTCCTTAAATTCCGAAAATTTGTTTGATTTAGGCAAGTGTACCTTTACTCTCGTTTTTATTGATTTTATAAATTCATTAATAATACAATAGGCCCTTGCAATCAGGGCAGACATGCAATGAAATGTTGACATGTAAGCCAAAAAGAGAGCCAACACGGGCTCTCTAGGTTCTGAACCCTTCTGTTGCCTAGCATCTTGCCACAAAAAATCATACATCTTAAAATGGATCCTTAATGAGTCTAAAGTTTGGTATAATAATACCACAGGCATGAGGCACTCGAAGAGATTCATCGAAAGACCATCCGCAAGACTTACAAATAATTACTGAAGGGTGACCGTGACTGTTACTGAAGTAGTATTGTGGTTCGAATCCTGACAGGGCACTGCCACCTGAAGGCACATGCATCAGAGTGGTGCAGACAGAAAAAAAACCCTCTTTTACAATTATTTACAAAATGATATATTGATTAAACTTTCCGAATCCCTAGAAATACCCATTTCAATTGCTCATTTAAACAATAAAAAAACCCATTGATTAAAACAAAAAGTTTATAATAGTAGTAAACTAAATCAACCACAGCCATACCAAAAAAAAAAGGATTTTATTCTTTACCAAGCAATAAATAGTTTTATAATTTAAACAGACAGAAAATATTGATTGTAACATTTTTAACAATATAAAACATTTAATATCTAGAATTTCCAAGAAAAATGTTATTATTTATATATTTATTTTTGTATATAAATAACACCATAACCTTCATATTGACAGAGCATGGTGGATAACAGTACTGTAAACAAAACCTGACCTCTCGACAAATCTTAAAATTTTTCCAATTAAAAAGGAAATAATTATGTGAATATTTTTATTAACGAAATATTACTGACTTATTTCAAGTTGTATGAAGTTCTTAAGCAATGGATTACAAATGCTTGGCGACCATAAACTGCAAGCAGGGCGCTATTCGTAAAGTGAGGTTCAACGGTATGTACCTAATGTGATAGGAAAAAAAAGTCAATTTTTAATTATTATTTAAAAAAAATATTTGAAGTTCAATTTGACAATAAAGGTAAGATGCTTAATTTAATAATAAATATGAATTTACATGGCTTAAAGGAAGAAGCGATTAACTAGCGACTACGTATGTTTTGACATCTACCAGTCACCAATTCTTATTTTCATATTTTCTTCTGAAAACGTAATAATAACGATGATATCCAGTTCTGATGGTCAAAACCCAAAAAATCTAGTACAGTGTCAATATTTTTGACCATTTTATCTGATACAGTGGATGGAGTTTATTGCGTGACGAGCGGCTCTGATAAGACAGTCAAATTATGGAATCCACACCGAAAGTTGTTTCTTAAGTCGTACTGTGGACATGGAAATGAGGTGTTAGATGCTTGTGCTTCAAGCGATAGCAGGTAAACAATAGCTTTAAAAAAAAAAATATATATATATATATATAATTAAAAATTCAGCCAGATTTTATCGGGAGGTGTCGACAAAACTGTAATTCTTTGGGACGTGTCGTCTGGCAAGCCATTGAGGCGACTTCGTGTCCATTCGGGCAATGTGACCTGCGTCAAGTTCAACGAGGAGTCCAACCTGGCATTTTCAGGTTCGCTCGACAACACGGTGATGATATGGGACATAAGGGCTTTCAACTTTCAACCGATCCAGGTTCTGAAAGAAGCAAAGGATTCGATCAGCGCCATTATAGTAACAGACCATGAAATTGTGACAGGTTCACTCGACAGCAAAATACGCTGCTATGATATTAGAAGTGGTGTGCTTTCTGTAGACTATATTGGAGGTCTGTTTAAAAATATATATTATTATTTTTTTATTTTTATGAAAAACGTTTTCAGAACCAATAGTAAGCTTGAACTTGACGAGAGATGGTCAGTGTTTCATTGCAAGCACGGCAAATGGAATAATTTGGCTCTTCGATAAAACAAGTGGCGAACTTCTCAATGAGTAAACAATCAGTAATAATTCATTATAAATTTAAAATCACGTGACTGTTTTAATCAGGTACTCGGGTCACACGACGGGTGATTTCTGCATTGAAAGCAGTGTCGACAGGAAGGACAGGAACATCCTGTCCGGCTCGACAGATGGATGCGTCTATTGTTGGGACCTGATTGGCAGCAAGGTGTCGCACAAGTTGGTCCACTCATCAGGCGAGGTCGTCCACTCACTCCACCCTCATCCGACCGGTGACTACCTGATGACTGCCACCAAAAACGAGATTCACCTCTGGGGCATCGAAGAGATGGACTTACAAGACGAACCGGAGGTAGAAGCTTAATATTCATTTGTGTATATATTCGTACGATATTGTAAATAAAAGTAAATTAATATCTTTACTGGCCTCTTTGTCTTATAAAAATATTATTTTTATTACCTTGTTAATCATTTAGGGTGTGTAAAATTGAAATCTGGTCAAAACGAAATATGCGTTTATTTTATACATTATATTAAATTTTATCCCAATTTTCACTAAAATATTTCATCCACCCCAGTCCATTTACATACAAAAATTATTATTGCCTATACAACAATAACAATACAATGGGATAAAACATAAAATCTATCATAAATTTTTTAAAGCATTCCCTGACTATGCTATGGGTCGAAATGTCAGGGCGATTATACTCCTACCAATGTACAGGATTGTGACATTGACCCATTTTTTCTAAACGTAAAAAAATTACTCAAAAGTTCAATATTTGGATTTTTTATGACATATTAAATTTTAACAGAAGAAATAAAAAATTATAGGTAACTAAAACATGATTAGGATGACGTGTGTATGCGGAAACCGTGCATGTCCTTTATCTCCTCCTTGAGAGCCTGAAAGAATAATAATAAAAATTATAAATTAACTTAATATTTTCATGAAAATTACTTAATTAAAATATTGTTTGTTAAAAAAAATCAAAATATTTCAATTAACTCAAAAGTGGAATGACAATCATAGAATATGAGCCTCTCCAAAAAAATTTCCAGAGGTTGAAAATCCCGACAAAGCAGCCTCCTATATTAATTTTCTTTGAAAAAGAAAACTTCGCTGATTCAGTACCACCTACTTCTAACTGTGGAATTTAATTTATATTTTCTATGCCCATAATTATAATACAACTTTTTTCCTAATTTTAAACGTTTCCTGTGGTGCCTGTTATCCGTGGTGAAGCCCTATCTCCTATGGATAATGATTATGTTCTAATGTTGTGCCTCATGTCTACTGTATGTTCAAATGTTGAACCCAAAGATGAATGAAACCCGTAAAAACTGTAATTACCTCTGTAACTAGTCTGTGCTGTTTGACGATTGGTAAACCTTTAAACTGTGGGGCTTGTATCGCGATCTCGAACATGGCACCGCATCCACCTGAAAATACCAGAAATTAATATATACACCAATCCATGATGGTTTCGTATTAAACCAGGTGGTTTTCACTCTTACCCGAGACATCGACGACGTCGATTGAATTAGCTTTGGGGAAGGTCTCAGTGAGGATAGCCTTGATCCTGTCCTCGGCCTTAGGTTCTTTTTTTGATGACCAGAATTTGACTAGTGACTGTAAAAAAATGGCGAGTTAAAAACATTTGAAATGACAAAATAGAAGAACAAGATTGATTGATTTAAAAATTGTTTAAAATTTATTATATTATACAAATATTATTCCTATTTGTTTAGTGTTGTTTTGTTCGTTCATTCGCTCACAGTGTACAAGTTCATAAACCACCTAAACAAGTGGTATTATTTGTACTATAATGAATATTACTATAATAAAAAATATTTAAATAATTAAATATTGTTTTGTACTATAAAATCATTAAAATAATATGTACCAAATATAAAAATTATTTTGTAAAATCTAGCAAGGTAGAATGACAAAAATTTCAGAAAGAAAACATCTGTTACAATATAAATCAATTAAATTTTTAAAAATTATACAATATTCCAGGATTGATTATATAAATTAATAAATGTTATAAAATTATGAATGTAAAGAATTTTTACTGTAAAGGCCTGTATATACAAAATTGACAAATTTGGGAGGGGGCGTCGCAAGATCAAAATTGATCTTTTAGAAATTTTTTTATTATTTTAAACTTATAATGGTTTTATTATGGAGTTTTATTGAATATATTTTTGTTCTTGGTTGGATTTTTAAAGATTTTGAATGAAATTATTAATTTATTTGGGTGAAGGCTTAACCATGTTTGGTATAGACGGTATGGTAATGAGAAATGTAATTTTTTACCAGCGACTTTGAAGGTATGACGTTCACTTTGGACCTGTTCAGGCTGAGGCTGACGACGTACCGCGACGGATTGAACATGTTGAACATGACTTTAAATTGGGGGAAAAAAAGCTAAAAACTACTTGCGAGTGCGACTACGGCTTGATGCTTGTGTTTCGAGTCTTGCGAGGGTGAACTGACGGCCTGGTAACCTGGATAACAGGTGAAACCTCGCCGTAACCTCCTCACGTAGTCATGTCGGACTCGGAGGAAGAGCTGGACCGGCTGGCGGAAATGAGGCCGCCGATCCAGGATAACGACGCGCGTTTCCAGGTCAGCGGATGGGACGACGACGACGCTGGAATCGAGGACGAACGAAACCCTGATGGTAAACTTTAGTCTAAATACAAAAAATCCATTCAAATCAATGTCAAAACGTATCAATCACTTGATCTCAACAAATTCAAAACGTCCCAGACTCAGAACTTATGTTTGTTTTTTTTGCAACCTGTGTCAAAAACCCTTGTAAGACCCTTTTAAGTTCAACTACCTACACCAACCAACATAACTATAAGAAATCGCAAAGAGAATCAGAAGAAATGCCAGAAATAGCCAAATTATACTGATCTGGATGGTGCTGAATGTGATGGTGGCACTGGATCGATGTCGTCCAAAAGCAGCTGCCGTCTTTGCCCATTGATCATAAATTGGTCAGTAATGCATAACATGATTTGTTCACAAGGTGCTTAGTGATGAATTTGATAATTGTCAAAATTACTTGAAGTTTTGTGTGCTCATGTTCAAACCTCCATCAAGTCTGGTATTTGATCATTGATTAGAAATATGCTATGTAACAGTCACAAATGTGTCATTCTAACTATTGGCTTGTAAGTAGTCTTTCATACTGGGTATTTCAACATTGGATAGGAATCTGTTATAAACTGCTTAAAAATGAACATGGATATGTAATTCGTTCTTATCCTATTAATTTTGATTAAATTAACTAATATATTCTTGTTAGTTGGATAGTCCAGAAAGTATGACTTGACACAGAGCAACTCAGTTAAGTTTGCAAGAAATCACATCAATTGGTGTTCAAAATCTTGTTTTCGTATGAGTAAAGGTGTTGTCGGTGTATTGGTCTGGGCTGGGATTTACACTGGATGGTAAATTGGATTCCATATTGTTGACCTTACCGCAGTCCATTATGTCTGACAAATTATCGAGGAATACAGCCCTCAGGGATCTCATTGACAGGGATTTTCGATTTCTGGACGACAATGCTAGACCTCATAGAGGTAGAGTTGTTCATCAATGTTAAGAAAACCTGGGAATTTCCCACCTGCCCATTCGCCCATTGTCTCCAGACCTCAATCCCATTGAGCACTTGTGGGATACATCGCAGAGAAGGCTTTGTTGATCACCATCTGCAGCCAGTTGGCCTGCAACAACTGAGTGCAGCATTACAACATCCATGGAGTGAAATTCCTTATGAAATTAGTAACAACCTTATTTACAGTATGCCTAGCTACAGAGGTTTTAGCTAACAAAGGACATTATACACGGAATTAAAAAAAAAATTAAATTAAATTATTAAAATATTTATAAATAAATTAATTAAATTATAAATAATAATAATTATTAAAATTATTATTAAATAAAATTAAATTATTAAATTTTCCTTCAGTAAAAAACGTAATAATTTCTAATAAATCTTAATGCAATTTCTAATAAAATAAAAAATAAAAAAAATTAGACCTCAAAAAGGAATCCAATGTTTGGAATGCAAAATCAGTAATTGTGAAAAGAATAAATAAATGGAAACAATTTTCACATTATGCTCTTTCACATGTAGCTATTTTTGTTTGTCTGCCTTTTAAATTTAATTAGTTGATTGTAAGGGGATGAAAATCCATCTAAATAAACGATAAACTTTAGTTTTTAATTTGGTTTAGTTTAGTTAAATAATTGCTTAAAAATTACATTTGCTCACAAACTTACTCTTTCAGTTCCTTTGGAAAAACAGACACTGGAGGCAGCCCAAGATGGTAAAATGGAGACACTTGTCAAGCTCCTGTCCCAAGATGCTTCTCTGGTCCACACCAAGGATAAAGATGGCTACACGCCGCTTCACAGGGCGTGTTACAGCAATCACGTCGAAATCGTCCGAGTGAGTAGCTCAAGGTGTAAACAGTCTGAAACAATGTTTTTCACCAGTTTCTATTGAATTCCGGCGCCCGACATGATGCAGAGACGATAGACCAGTGGCAGCCGTTGCATTCTGCCTGCCGTTGGAACAACCTGGACTGTGCAGAAGTTTTGATATCATATGGCGCAGACATAAATGCAACTTCTAACGGAGGTAATATAATTGTACTTTATAGAACTTTATTGTTATTTAATTATTTATTGATTTTTTTAAGGTGTGACCCCGCTGCATCTAGCCGCAAGCCATAAGGATGGTAAAGAGCTGATTCAAATGCTTCTAATTCAACCTGATCTGATTCAAAACGTAAAAGACACCTCAGGCGACACGCCTTTGGATATCGCTTTGAGATCTGGATATAACAACTCGCTCTTCGAAGCTTTTGAAGATTGTTTTCGTTCCGATTTGTAATTATTATTATTTTTAACATATTTTTTACAATAAATATATTTTCTGATCTTTTTTCATTTAACATTTTATTTCAAGTTAACTATTGTAGCTAATCCGTCATTTTAAAAATGTATCATTTAAGAATGATTTTTTGTTGTGAGATTTCTCCACACCGAGGATCATGAACGCATATTTGGTCATTATCTTTCATTTTGGTCTCTTTATCCTTGCTTGGTTGGTCTTTCATGATTTTATTGTCCTTGGCCTAGGGCTCAGCACCAAAAAAGATTTTTGTTTAACAAATATATTTAGCAAAATTCAACTTAAAAATACATGAAAGAATTCAAAATTGTTTTAACTGGTTAAACGTATGTACAGGGTGCACACATTAACTTCACCAGGTGTTTTTTTCCCAATAAATCCCTTACAGCTCAAAGACTATTCATCACACAGAAAATGATTCTTACTAATTAAGCTTTCAAAAAATGTGCTCATGTTCGACTCGTAGTCATGAGGAATAGATCAAAAGACTAAGGAAGGAATTAGATGGAAGACATTATTTTTACACACACAAAAAAATAAGTAAAAAAAAATAAATTTAAAAAAATAGAGGGTGTAAAAATCAGAAACACAAAAATCAATTCGCTGTTATAGCTTAATTTAAACTTAAAAAAGTTTAATGTGATGATCTTCAGAAAGGGTGGTAGACCTATGCTGGCAAATAAGGTTTTTCAATGTTTAAAAATAAAACTATTGTTTTTAAATAGTATAGTTTTTATTTACAATAAGAAAACAACAGTATCATTTTTTTTTTAAATTTGGCAAAAAGTATAAAAATAAATAAAAAGGAACTAGATTATATATATGTTTGATTATCCAGAAATAATCAACACAATATTAGCATTCTCAACTCCTTGGAATTCTTAATATTGTTTATTGACTATACTAGGTTTTGGGCGGTTTCCACTAGAATTTTGTTCGTTTTCAAAAGGATAGGCCATACTTATAACGTTTCCAGATGTCTGTGGGACCCATGGCCTATCTTCAACCTTAGAATCACTTTTACTCAAAATCTCTGCCTGAAAAGAAATGATTCATGACTAATTATAAAATAAAAATAAAATATCTTTTTCCTTATATTACATACATAAGAAATAATGTATGAAATAAATTACAAGACTGGATCAAAAGTGAATATTGATAGTAAATTAACTTTTTAGTATCCCTACTCAAATTTAAATTATTTTTAAAAGATTACAATTAATTAAGGTTTTTAGTTGAGATAAAAACGCCATTAAATGCCATAGTTTTATCTCAACTAAAAACCTTAATTAATTGTAATGTATGAATTGGCCAAGCGGTCCACGAAATTAGTGAATTTAATGATTTAAAAATGAAGTATACTTCACTAAAGCTCTCCGTGGCCATTTCATTTGTCGTCGAGAATCCAATCCGATTGCACGACATTTGAAAAATGGCAAAAAGGAGGGAAAATTCAAAAGGTGGGGTTGAGATGGGAAGTTGGTGTCCGAGGGGATCGAGGTCACGATAGCTTAAGTGGTAGAGCAGCGGCGTATCTAGCCGAAGATCGTGTGTTCGAATCCCGCTCGTGCCATTGACTTTTTTATCTCAACTAAAAACCTTAATTAATTGTAATGTTGAACCGGCACACGGGCACTACTGGGTCTGTCTTCACTCGCGGGTTTTTTTTGTTTGAGTTGTTCAAATGCGTTTAGGCATTACGCCATCTTCAGTGAAAAACTTTTTTCAAACAAAAAAACCCGCGAGTGAAGACAGACCCAATAGTGCCCGGGTGCCGGTTCAACATGAGTTCGCCAACTCGCAGACCAAACCCAATCATCTACTATAATTGTAATGTATTAATTGGCCAAGGGGACCACGAAATTAGTGAATTTATTTTTAAAAGGTTTACAAACTATGAGGAAATCATTAAAAAAAGTTCGCACTTTTTATATGATTGCAGGCCAATCGAATAAAATATTTTAAAATGTATATAAAGCATGCTGACAGTTGGTATAGATGCAACGTAAAGTAATGGCGAGGCAGTTGAAAAGTCAAATACATAAAACAGATGCACTTTTATGGATGGGTGAAAACAGGCGACACTCACTTCAATTGGAACTGACCTGAGGTCTTGGTCCTTTTAATAGTTGCGGCAAAGTCGGCGGTATGATTTCGACATCTTTTTTCACATCGTCACCGGTTGGAACCATATACTGCCCTTGGAAAAGGAATCCAACATCCTTCATCCTGATTAAGTACAGGAATGGACGGTCTGCCACGAAATGACGGGTGTAAGAAGCGATTAACGTTTCTACGAACGAAACTGAAAATCAAACAGAATACATTGGAACAAAAATGCTAATTATTTAAAAATCAATTGTAAAGATATAGTTGAAGCATCTAAATAGTAGAAGTATTGCCTTTCACTTAAAGTGAAGTACGTACCCGTTGAAGCAGCTGCAATAGTCCCTCTTTCGTTAACGACTATCTTGGCTTTATGCACCATGTCAGTGACTTTTCCACTTGTCGCAAACATGTTAGTAAGATTACTCTTGTCGGTGAACATACTTCCTGACCCTAACTGTAATTAAAATTCATAAATTAAATTAATTAAAGAATTGTAATAGGGATTTTTGCTCTCTCTCTCTCTCTCTCTCTCTCGGTGGGTTTTCTCTCTCTCTCTCTCTCTCTCTCTCTCTCTCTCCGTATCNTGGTGTGTCCTCTCTGTGTAAGTTCTATTAACTTCTACTTCTTTCTCATTCTCTCTATTTCTTTCTTATATATGTAACCTTAGTCTTGTCGATATTGTATCAATTGTATTGTCGATGTTGTCTGTTGAGGTTCCCTGCTATTTGAATAAGTCAAGCCGTACTTTTTTTCTGAAAGAATTTTTTGTTTGTATTTTAATTTTGTTCAAATCACCTTAGTCAAGATGTTGTTCAATTTGATGGAATAGTCTACAGTAAATTTCGGGATTTTGATCGAGACGTCGACATATGGAAGAGAGTCTAGTAAAGGAAGGAGAGGGATGAATGTGAGGTCCCTCATCAACTGCTTCATCCCTATCTTCGGCAAGACGAAGACCATGGTGTAGCGTGGGTCCTAAAACGGTAAATTACAGTTAAAGGGGAAACTACATAAACAAAAGGATAATAAACAAAACGCACGCTGTACGGAAGCTCTAATACTAGGGCATTAAGAGGTCCAATTACACCAGCTCTGAAATCCCCAGTCATAGACATAAACTCGGTTTTTACGCACTTTGAATTGGTGTAGAAGCAGCCAATTGAGTTCGACTGTGGGTCGAATTTGATACGCCAGTCGCCTTTGAAATAAACTACGTTGACGATCGCCAATGCTGAAAGAGGTGTGAAAGAACCTGGAAAATTTCTCTGTTTAGGCTTGTTTCAATAAAAGAAAATTGGAGTTGGCTTACTCTCAGTCGCGATCTCGGATATTGCATTGCTTGTCAGTTGTTTAACCCACTTATTGATGTAGCTGGAGATCGTCCCCGGTTGGCCGAAGTCCACAGCTTCGATACGAATGCCGAAACTTTCGAGAATCTTTGCCCTGTATGTTTCAAGAACCTTTAAACCTTTCTTCACGAGTATTTTGTTTCCTGATTTCATTGTTATACTGTTCGATGGATTCTACAGATTAAGAACAAATATAAACAAGAATTTTTATATAGGAATCAAGCAGGTTTTTTGCATCTTGATTTCTTAATAACACACCTGCAAATCCATGTTGTAGTCATGTAGAAATTTCCTCGCTGAAGTTGTGTTGTAAAAGCTGTCCAATCTGAGTAAGTGGAGTATCTCTTCCTCTGTCTTGCCTCCCGCGCCTGCCAAAATAAGCGCAAGCATGGTTTTAATGCTTGCTGGCGAGACGATTGTGTTTCCCTCATATTCGTCAAATATGCTCTTAAATTTATTAAAATTATAACGGGCGATAAGATAGTAAAACGATTAATCGGTGATGAATTTTTACCCGTGACAGTTCCATGTCGAAATGAGAAAAAACAAGCCGCCGATCACTTACAGACATGCTGGTTTCGGGATTGTACGCTACTCCTAACGCCGAAACCACTGAAAAAGAAAACACTTGTTATTCAGAAATAGATATTTGGAGAATTCAGATAATAGCAGTTCAGGATATGTTTGGCGATTTTTCGAAGCCAGACTAGTCCGACATTTCCGGCAAATAAGGCAGTTTAGTATAAATAATTAAGCTTGCTTAATCAATTTTTTTCATCTTCAGGACGTCTACTGTGGTAAAAGTCAATAAGAGCATTTGTCGATGTTGGGTTGTGGGATGTGCAGTCATACAGAAAACACAGCGTAGTGCTCAATTCTTTAATTTGCCGTTTCGAATGGTTTTATTCTTTTTTAAGGCAATGCTGGAATAAAGGTAGAGCCGTTTTTGTCCACTTTTTTTCCGGTGTTAGCATTAAAATCGTAGCCGTAGTGGTAGTTATTTTTTTTTGTTTCTTCTTTTTGAAGAACTACCACTTCGAAACGAATTACTGCTTCGATTTTAATGCTAACACCGGAAAAAATAACTAACACAAAGAAAAAACAAAAGCGGCTCTACCTTTATTCCAGCGTTGCCTTGCAAAAGAATGAAAACCATTCGAAACGTTGGCAAATTAAAGAATTGAGCACTACGCTGTGTTTTCTGTATGAATGCACATCCCACAACCCAACATCGTTGAATATAACAGTCATAAATAAAAGACAAGAGCATTTATGAAAGTTTATGTTGCAAAAATATGTTGTTTCATACTTTGTCTATTGGCACTTCCTGTTCAAAAGTTTAATAGTTGGTCAATCATTAATTTTTGATTGGTCAGGGTTTCTATTTCGTAAAAGGATATACATCTATAACTTTTAACAATATTCAGATAGTTTTAAAGTGTCTTTGCAAAATTAGTTTAATCATTTATCGTTAATTATTATTTCCAATTTTTATGCAAAGACGGTCGAGAAGAAAAATTAGTGTCACGAACGGGATTTGAACTCACGACCTTCGGCTCAATACGAGGTCACAACAGCTCAAATGGTTAAAGCACCGGCTTGTGACACTAATTTTTCTTCTCAACCGTCTTTGCATAAAAATTGGAAATAATAATTTGCAGTTTAAACTGTAGTCCAGTAGGAAATTAGTTCCTTGGTTTTATCAGTTTGCCACAAATTCTAGGCCATTTGGCAGTTTTCGGATGTTTGGCACTGTTGTACTAATCAATTGATTTATTCAGGTGGCTATGTTTCTTTGAAAAATTTAAGTAAATTTGTATGTGTGGTGATTAGTGACCGTTAATCGATATTTATTTAGAAATCGTGAGATGCGGTTTGGTGCGATGTAGGTTTCAGAAAAACATTTTCTTTATCGTGCCAATGTTTCGATCTTTATTGAGATCATCTTCAGGGCCTGAGATTTGCAAACATTGTGTATATATTACAATACAATCTCAATAAAGATCGAAACGTTGGCACGATAAAGAAAATGTTTTTCTGAAACCTACATCACACCAGACCTGCATTTCACAATTTCTAAATAAATGTAAATTTGTATATTTTTAGTCAGTAGTCGATTGCTGCTTGTTTTTATCACTTAGTTAAAAATTCTAGGCCCTTTAGGAGTTTTTGTCTGTTTTCCGTTGCACTATTGAATTTAAGGTTATTCAATTAGTTTTAAAGTGTATTTGCAATATTAGGTCAATTCGTGCTTTTTCAGTTAATAATCAATTTAAAGGTTTAATTTTTTCTAATGGGCATCCACAGCTTGGTCATTTCAGCCGCGAGCGAAATATTACAACGCACATTCAATTCGCATTCACACTAATAAATACATTCACAACCTATTTACATAGCATTCATTCTATTTGGTAGATGGACTATTCAATATTCCTCCATCGACCTGCATACAAAAAGAAAAAAAATTGGTTCTCCAATAATTAGATGGTGGAAATATGTCTAATTGTTACATCTACTATCTGTCTACTACAGATTACTATCCACTATCTAATTAATATAAATTTAATAATAAATTTTATGAAATGACTTTTTTTGGAAACGCTATGTAAATTATATTTTATGTATAGGTCGGGAACATTAGAGGTTCTAAAAGAATTCTTCCAATTAATTAATTCTCTACACCCTGTATAAATTTTAAATCGGAAATAAACTAAGTCGATTGTTTAAACTTTTTAGGCATAAAGCTGTCCATAATAAATAACACTTTTAAATAGACATATATACACAACCCACAACTACAGACACTATGATATGAGCAGATACTTTTCACCCTTAGACGCCCCAAAAAGTTGCTGGATACTTTTAACTCATAAAACATCTGTTGGACCTCCCCTTAACACCAGTTAATTATTACAAAAAAGAATTACAAACAATTAAAATCTTAGGTAAAAACAGTGGATATCAAGAAATATTTATCGATAGGCTATTAGTAAAAAGAACAAAGAAAACTTTAAAAGAAGCAACGAATGGACTCCAGCCACCCAACCAAAAATGTATCATTAGGTCTTCGTTGCTTGCCAAACATTGGTGGAAGCAGGAAAAAAATATTGACTATCAACTATAAATCATTTCAACTAATGTCAACTTGAAATCACTTCTTAGTTGTATTTTGTAAACTTTTTGGTTTGCATCCTGTGTATTCTGGCGTTTCGAATTTTTCATAGTACGTCGGCATGTTGACTCTCGCGTAGGTCTTTGTGATAAATGTCTGGAAATCCTCTGCTGATTCTTTGTAATCTATTTTTTTTAAACTTTCATTTAATACATTCATAATCAGTCGTCTTGTCAAACGCTATAAGTTAAATTTACGTCAGCAAGACGTTTTGACCATTTTTTTGGTCTCGACCTCTTTTTATTGGCCGTTTAAATTTATGAAATTAACCAGTGTTTACATATGTAAAATACCTACTTTCTTTTAGGTAAAAAAATCCGAGTCATGCAGAAAACAATATTTTTAGCTGAATCAAACCGAAATCGAAGGAGACCGGACAAAAGGCCATGCATTTTTGTACCATAACTTATGATTTTTTATTTTTGACACCTATATTAAATAATTTGGAAAGGTATTTACCAAAAGGCCAGAAAATCATCCAAGCGTGCATTTCGTCTGTGCCGGGACGATTTTGCCAGTGTTCACCTAAGCCTTCTGCAGTCCGACCGCAAATGCAGAACCGTCTTCATTCAGCACCAACTCTCAGGGGGATTAGAAAAAGGGGATTCCCGCTCCCTCCTCCTAACGTTGCGCAATTTATCCGGATTGGTTGTACGCTAATTTTTCTTCAGAATATCATGAGATTACCGAAATCGATTCTAATTGAAGAAAACAAAATCTGATTCGTAATTCATAAACTGCCATTGGTTCTGCCCTCTCTGAGGTACGCAATATTCATAAAAACCAACTGAAACTATACAGTAACTGAAAATCGTCAACATTCTTCAATAGGCAACATTACAAGAATGGAATTTCTAGAGCAGATAGAATGCTCTAAATATATCTTGAATATTTCAAAATCATTTCAAGTCTTAAGTTTTTTTTTTAAATGGAGAAGATAAAATTGAAAAGGAAAGAGAGAGGGGGGTGAGAGAGAGAGAGAGAGAGAGAGAGAGAGAGAGAGAGAGAGTGAGTGAGAGAGAGAGAGAGAGAGAGAAAGATAGACAGACAGACGTCCAGGAAGACCTCACGAATCTACCACCACTACATATCTTCATCCGTCGAGAGACACATTCACAGGCCTCCAATGAAAGCTTCAGTGGAGCTAAAGATAGACAAGGTTCTGTCCACGATGATCTCAAAATTCAGAGTTTTGTTCCCCAGACTGTGGCTGTTGAACGCGGTGCCAGTGAGATCAAAAGGGCATTGTCATCAATAGATCATCCAACTTGGGCAGTCAGGCACAAAGGCAACCACATCAATAGTAAAGTCCAGAACATTTTGGGTTGCATCAATCCCCTGTCGGACATTGGGTACTCCTTTTAACCTCAACCTTCCAGTAGGATTGAAAGCTTGCAAATTAAAACTGTTTGATTAGTAAAATGTTACATGAAGCAGTAGTGATTTATTAAAATGGTGATAAATCCATTAACCAATTTTCTAGTACATGCAGATTAAAGTTCATAAATTAGGCTGTGTAATCACAACGTCTCTAGAATAAGCTCGTGTGTATTTTTAGTTTTGATAAATGCCTTGAGATTTGGTCTTTGTCCAATTGGCTTTTTTTAATAAGTATGAAAATGATGTGGAAATGAGGTTATATTTTTCTTTGTCGTCCCAATGGAAATGGAAATGCAACAATGAACTTCGTCAATAATATTTTATTTCAAAAGAAGCAGTTACATGCTGTTACATTGTGTTAATCTACTGAATACGGAGATATACGGATACATTTTAATAAAGCGTGGTTAAACACCTCCGCTGATAATTCCCAAAACATTGGAAAAACGTGTGTGTATGTATTTTGTCCTCGTTCAGAAATCGACTTCCCTAAATCGAACACTGTTGAAATCAACGAGTCGAATTTTGACTTTTATTTTCACCTACAAGTCAACGTGAAATGGTCAAAAAGAAACAATTAATACAAAAAACGAATTTAATTATTTTGTTGAATTTAGTTTACTTGGGTATTGGTTTACGCCGGCGACTTTGGCACGTCCGCCGTCCGTCGGGTCGGATATTCGTCCGACGAAGACGACCGTCCGAGTAGCTTCGTCTTCTATGAAGAAGAGGAAAGGGTGGGATGCGTCGACGTCGGTTATGTACTCTCCGAACTTGCTGACCAGCTCAGCCTCTGGCGAATAAAAAAACAAACAAAACAGTTTAGCAATTAACTCGATTGAGTATAATGACCTGGGGATTACCAGTGGCTACGTAAGCCGTGCTTCCTTGTTCGTTGATTTCTAAGCCGGCTTTCTGAATCACGTTGGATACGACGAGGTCTTTAGCGCTCTCAGCTATGTCTGAAAGATCCGCCTTCGAGTTGAATATATCGGTTATTCCTAACTAAAACAAAATAGACAACATACACAAGAAGTAAATCAGATATATTTGTAGATTTCCAACAGTTAATTTACCAAGGTATACAAAGAGGCTTAACTGTACAAGGGAGATTTAAGTTGTGAAATTTTGTTCCACACCCTACTCACAACTGCTAACGCGCACAAACCTACCGACTACATATCCTCCTAAAGACCTAACAGTCGTCTTCCTGTGATGTTCAAAACCGTTGAAAATCTCCTTCTAACACGTTTAATACCCTTTCCCCCACATAAGCCTTCAAACTCAACTTTCCTTGCTGAAAATGGCCTTGTAAGCAGTTCTGCCCTGAAATTTTTCTAGCCGTTTCCCAGGCGTTCTATCGGTTCTGGAATCAGGGTACTTTCTAATACACTGATAGGCAAAAAATTTCACACACTTGTAATATAACCTGATTTTTTTATATATTAATCAAAGTTTCAGGTTTTTTAACGTTTAATTATTGAATCTTTGTCTAAAAAAGTAAAAAAAAGAGAAATTGCTACGGCAAATGAAAAAAAGAAAAAGACGGACAGATAAAATCTATTTTAATTTTGTTTTAGATATTTAATTAACATTTCAATATCGTGTATTTCCTCCTCTTGCCTTAATTACATCTCGAAGACGCCTGGGTATACTTTCTACCAGTCTGGAAATGTCTCTTTGTTGGACGTTAGCCTATACTTCAAGAAGAGTCCTTTCAAGATCGTGGAGTATACCAGGATACCAGGATGGACGTGCTTTTATACGTCTTTTGAGGTTATCCCATAAATGTTCGATGGGGTTCAAGACAGGAGAAAGGGCTGGCCAGGCTAAGACCCTGATGTTCTGCTGTTGAAGGTACGTTTGTACTATGCGAGCGACATGTGGACGGGCATTATCGTGCATTAGAAAAGGATTGTCGCTGATTTCATCGAGGATAAGCAACGCACGATGTTCCAAAATTTCATCCACATAGCGAGTGGCCGTCTCCACGAACAGCAACCAACTCTGTACCACTCTCCATTGAAATTCCCGCCCACACCATCACTGAGCTAAGTTGAAAAGGTTTGATCTGGGAAAAGTTCATTTTGCCTTCTCCTCACTCTTTCTCGCCCATCTAGAGACCGTAGAGCAAATCTACACTTATCTGTAAAAAGTACAGCAGACCAATCGTCCTAAGGCTGTGTTTTCGAGCAAATGCGAACCGTGCTACTCTGTGTTCTGGTCAATTCTGGTCCTCTTACGGTGCGAAAAGCCATCTGTCTATACTGATTTAATATTCTTCGAGCAGGACGTTCAGAAATTTGGACACCTCGAACTTCCTGGAGCTGAATCGCTTGAATAACAGTAAGGTGCCGGTTTCGCAAAATTCTCAAAGTCAAAAAACGGTCATCCTGTGGTTCTGTAACCCTAGGGCGTCCAGAACCGGGTCATCTATGGTAGGACCCAGTTTCTCGCAAACGTCTAACGGCGACTTGCAGAGTTTCGTAGGGAACTCCGATGGCAAAAGCCGCATACCGATGGAAAGTCCATCATCAAGTGCCACACCACGCGCAACATCCTCAGCACTAGTGGCATTTTTCAGTTTAAAAATTGAAATTAAGAAAACAAAGACGAAAACTTAACAGTTTATTTCTTCAGAATTCTGAAGACAGAATAAATATTTTAAATGCCGTACAAAGTAAACATTGAAATATCCTTTATCCTTGTTTTAGATTAAGGAGTAAGTGTGTTTACTTCTAATTGTTTTTCCCAATTTAAAACCTAGCATAAAAAATATTTATTGGTAAAAATAATGAGACAAATTAAGGGCAGAATTTTCTTTTATCGAGAAAATGAAAAAAAATCAATGGGGTGGAATTTTTTGCCTGTCAGTGTAGATACTCTCATCTTAAAATTGTTCCATCTGTTTTGTTCTTTGTGGTGTTCCTCATGGGAGTATCCTAGATCCGTTACTTTTCAACATAAACATAGCAGACTTCCCTCAACACCCAATACACTGTTCACATTTGTTGACGACACTGCAATCTGTGGAAACCGCGATCCTGTCCTAGAAAATAAAAAGAAATCCCACTATCCTTTCCCTCAAACTTTATCCCCTTTATCCTTAAACCCTTCTTTTATAGTACATACTGTCTCTCCTAAAATCGTACCTATTCCATGCTACAGAACCTCGTCCTCTTCCAACCATTCTATCCTCTCTGGTGTTCATCAAGGAGCATCCTATGTCAGTTACTTTTTAGCAAAAACACGGCAGATTTCCCTTATCATTGTAACACACACTGTTACCTTGCTAACGTTACAGCAATTTCTGCAAACCTCGATCCTGTCCTGGCAATTTGACCTCTTCAAGAACAGTTCCGTAAATGGAAAACAAAAAATTCCAATATGTGTCCTTTACCACATTTAACCTCAAATGCATAAAGACAATTAAAACCGTATCAAGACATCTTAGGCAAAATCAACGTTTCTTACAATCTTCTTTAACCACGGTCCTATTGAGGTGCGGCAACGAATACTCGGAGATTACTCTTATACAAACTGGCTCCTCAGAAGGGGCAATATTGATCCTACCTTTACTGCTGACATTCCTATGCATCTTTTAACTCGAATCCTATTCCTACCAACTACACCTTGAGTTATCAAAGTGGAAGAAAACAGCCATACCTTCCGACCTATACACCAACTACAATGACCGGCTTCCTCTGAAGTAAGTACTTTACCTAGATAGCAGAGTGACGTTGAATCCCTAAGCAAGACTTAAGAGCCAACTGGAAGACTTCAACGACACAAGTCTAAATACCCAACAAAATTTAAACAAGTCTTTATTTTGATCACATAGTACTATGGTTTCGCCAAGTCACCCAATACGCCATGCATCGAATTTTTCCAATCGAAGTCCTCACACAAATTGTTATAGCTCCTTGCCAGGACACACATCTCAAAACCCCATCCTCCACCTAACACCCTCCTGTAATGCCCAAAATCCTTGGAAGTCTTCTTCTAACAGGTTTAATACCTAACAGGACCATACTTATATGGCAGACCGACATGCAATTCCCACATAAAACAACTTATTTACAGGGACGCACGACTTCGAAAGCTCCTGGGACCATAATAAATTTTGAATCCCAGCGAAATTTAAACAAATCTTTACTTCGACTACATGGAATTGGACATGGTATCAACTAAGACCTGGGGCTACTCAAAATCAATGGAACTGGTTTGTGACTGGAATCACTAATAAGTTACTAACTCATTAGTGACGCGGATCCACACACGAAACAACTCAAAATATGTAGATCTAACAGTAGTTCTTCAATGAAATAGTAGAAAGGAAATCATCCCTGTCTTTGTTCGTGATGATTCCTGTGATGATTTAAGCGATGAAGCTGTCATACTGTACTATCATCGCTACAGAAGAGATACGATGAAAATTTTGCGTTCGTGCGTTTTTCGAACTTCATGCCTTGCCGTTTCAGTGACGTCTTTCTTCGAGTAACCAGGAACAAAAAGTTGTAAAAAACAGGATATTTAACTTTTTCACAAATAATATGTTCCTGTTTATCACCCAAACTTCAGCCACTAGTGAATCTGCCTGAAGTACTAACGGGTTATTCAGTTTTACCATAAGAGACTTTTTGCGTACCGGTTAGTAATTCGTCTAACTAATCAGTTTCTTTTGAGTGGCTCTATGCGTGGACGGCCTACGCCATCCAATCATTTCAATCAAAAGTCCTCAGACAAATTGTCCATACTCCTTGCTAGGTAAGTAGCGACAGTATTTATATACCCAGTTCCATAACAACCTCCAGATCTATTTTAACACATCTGCACAAGCATTTTCTTCATTTCCACATCGCGGGAACCCTCCACATCGCCTTAACTACCCTCTTGGACACTTCCTCTTATTCCCTTATATTAACTCTCATACGCCATCCTGTTGCGGAAACGTTCATGTAAAGTGATATTGCACTAGACTAGCCAGGGTGTGATCCTCAACTGCACCAGTAGAAGCAGAACCCTTCTGTAAAATTTCAGGCTGCCCTTAAAAAAGCAATTACTGAATGGATCAGGTTAAAAACTACGTGATGGAACATCTCACCTGGACAGAGAACGAAGTAACGACGAACAAAACTAAAGATCGTTGTCGGTCTGACACTGGACCTCAATAAGCACTTGAAAATAACGGGCGTGGCATAAGCAGAAATCGAACTCTCGGGCAAAGAAAAACTGGATCCAGTAAACAACTACCAATACTTATGGAAGCTAATAAAAAGCCTAAAGCAAGATAACACATTCAAGGGCAATAGACGTATATGTAGACGCAGTGTAAAAGGCTCTATAGCCAAGACAAATCTATCACCTAAGATCTCCACATTACTGTGAAATAATAATATTATACAATTAAATTGAACAAACAAACAAAAACTCCACATTCTATGATTTATCCAACTTGACAGTGCGATCGTCCATCACCGTTATGACCTTAGGCTATCTTTTTCACTTCCTTTGTTATTTTTGCTTTTGTCTCATTATAATGCGTACTTTGGAGTATAACACAGGCCGCTCCATTATTGCCTTCAAAATTACAGTAAGGTCACGTGACTGTCTGGTTTAAGGTAAAATACTGTTAGGGGAATGGTGATGCACTTGTTAGACACTAGTGTTAAAAGGAAAGCCATTTGATTTATGGTGAAAATGTATTTTATAGATTTAATTTTCATTTCAGTGTACGGTCGACTAGGAATGGATAGTGTATACAGGTAATATCTTTTTGGTTCTTAGTTGTTAATCATGGTTTTGAATTTTCAGTGGATTATCTGTTGCTACCTTTTGCCTGGTACAGTCATATGGCAAAAAGGCCCTTCTTCTGTTTTTTCTTTGATCTGGTAAGACGTTTCTAGAGGATCTTTGGAGTTTTAACAAAACATCACAGAAAGTAGCGAGTGTTCTTTTTTATAATTGGCAAATAACAAACCATCGTTGGTAAAATTTACCTTTGAAAGAACGGGTGCTAAGCTCGAAGCGAATTCCACTTTGAACTTGGGCAGTGAAAGTCTCGCAGTAATGGGCTCCATTTTATTGACTTCGGCCCTCAACAAGTCCGGTGTTATCGAGCTCATGACGTTATGCAAGTCGTTCTTTTTGAAAGGAAGGATTATGTACATGGCGAATCTTCCTCCCTACGAAGAGTCAAATTAATTTGATAAACAAAGGAAGAATGTCAATGGAATGCTTACAACGTAAGGAAGCCTGACGACGCTGGCGCTGAGCGCAGGCGATTCGACGTAGGACAGGTTGAACGTTGCTCTCATATAATCGACGTCGACCGTGGTTTTAGGATCCACCTGGAATTTCCCACGCATCGTCTCGTTCGCGGCGAAAATATTTTCCCACACTCCTTTGAAATAGACGGCGTTCAAAAGAAGAAGAACTATGCTGTCTTCAGTGTCAGCTGAAATGAAAGGAAATTGAGAATTATTCACTTAATTATTCAGAAATCGTGAGATGCGGTCTGGTGTGATGTAGGTTTCAGAAAAACATTGTCTTTATCGTGCCAACGTTTCGATCTTTATTGAGATCATCTTCAGGGCTCGAAGTGTTTGTCTTCTGTGTAATTGTGCCATTCTTGCATGTCGTGTTGAGAGTGCCTATTATTCACTTAGGTGGTCAGGTTATTAGTGAGTCAGACTATATCTATGGATTGGTTCTGGGTTCGAACCCCGGCATAGCCCTTGCAATTTTATTTGAGATTAATTTGGAAAACGTACGTCCCCCATGGTCCTATAGGTCCTAGTTCCATAGCTGATGACATAGCTATCCTATTCCTATCCCGATCCTATCATCTCCCACAGATAACTTTCTAGCCTGCATTTCTTTGCTGGAAGTGGTATCCCTAGAGCACCTAGTCTGAACGGTTTTTTTATATTATTTTGTTTTTGTTCACCTAAACCAGTTGCAGTGTTAAACATCGTATTTTGTTGCTGGTTTAACTTCTTGGTTTTCTGACATTCAATTTTATGAAATGGTGGTTTAATTTAATGGTTGAATATTTTTTAATTAGTGTAGCCAAAAGTAGTCTTAATAGTTTTGGTTTTTTATTGTTTGTTTCTTTACCTAAGCAATGAATTGCTGCATTAAAAACTTGAAACATTAAACATAATGTATTATTGCTAGTTTAGCTTCTTGGCTTTCTGTCTTATATTTTTTTTGAAATAATGGCCTTTAATTCTTGAATATCGTTCAATTATGGTAGTAAATAGTAGTAACAAGTTAGGTTTTTAATTTTTTTTTTCATTTAAACAGAATATCGCTGCGTTAAACATCGTGTTGTGTGCTGGTTCAGCATCTTGGCCTCCTAATCTTCAATTTTTTCAAATAGTGGCTTTTAATTGTTGAATATTTGTCAATTAGTGTACCAAAATAAGTCTGAACGGGATTTGTTTTGTATTATGTTGTTTCTTTTCACGTAAGCGGTGTATCGTTGCGTTAACACATCGTGCTGGGTAGGAATTTCGTTTGAGATTATGCTGGGTTAAGTAGTTCGACTCAACGTCCGAGGGACCCAAACGTTAAGTCCTCCAGTACAACTCGAGTAACTCCTATCATCTTTAACGAAGGATTCACCTAATTAATTCATTGTTTTATGGACGCCATCATCTTCTCTCTTGAGTTTAAGGAAGGCGAATGTTGAGCAATAAAGTATGGCACGATGGACTGATATTAAAACTGAATCTTCCCAACACATACTTCTTTGCCCGGGAATCCAATTTCGTGGTTAACTCTGGTTTCTCACAAGGTATCCTAATTCTTAAAGATAACCGATCAGGTATCCTGTTATGTCCTACGGAAACCTTCAAACCCACAGTTCTTTGCTGGAATTGGTGTCTCTAGAGCGTAAGCAGTTCTGCCTTAGAGTATGTTTGGAGTATATTTTGCCTTGGAGTATTTGCTTTGGGACTGAAATCAAATCGTTCCTTTCTAGTTTATACAATCTCATCCTACCTGATCGTTTCATTCTTGCTACCGAAGCTCAACCTCTTCCATGCACTCTGTCATGTCTGTTGTTCGTCAAGAAAGCATCCTTGATCCGTTACTTTTTAGTATATACAAGGCAGTCTTCCTTTAATACCCTGACACACTCACCACCTTTGTTGATGATACAGCAATCTCTGCAAACCTCGACACCGTTCTAACAAATTCGATCCCTTCAAGCCCACCTCATTACCTTTGACCCAGGTTCAGTAAACGGAGTACTTTCTATGCCCTCAAACGCAAAATACTCCCTCACGTTTATCTGAATTAAATTCCACTTCCAGCAGCAGACCCCGTCAAATACTTGAGATTGGGGTGGGCACTACATGCACGGCCACTTATGCTCTTTCTTTATAACCTATCTGCTTATGGCATAAATTGTTGCAGGTATGCATTAATAATAAAAAGAAAATATTATATTTTACCTTCTGATAAAAGATCCTGAATATGCCCTTTTGTGACAGCTTTTGCCCATGCATTGATGTGCGTGATTGTGGCTGAAGTGTTTTTGAAGTCGACCTGATCAATTGTCGCGTTGTAAAGGTTTAAAATTTTCTTCTGGAAAGATGGCCGAGGTTTCGCCCCTTTGTCCATGAATAGTTTTGTGCCGATGTCCAGATCGTAGCCGGCATATTCTTTCTTGAAATTGAACAGGGTTTAGGACGAGATTTCTTTTTACCGCGATGGTCTAATCTGCTTACCTTGAGACAGTTGACGATTTTCGCCAGTTTTAACGTGGAAGTCGATTTCGATTTGTCATCTTTCAAGTCGAGGGCTTCCCTGAGCTGCTTCGCCGAACTCCCTTTCGCCCCTTCATAAAGGGTCGCCAAGACTAGCTTGAGACTTATGGGCGACAGAATCACATTCTTGTTTGCACCGCTGGCTCCTACCGCCTAAAAAAATGTAAAAAAAATTACTATCATATTATGATTTCAAAGGGTGGAAACCTGAAAATGTTATGTACGCATGCTATTACATATTAGAAGCGACAAATTACTACTACCTTCGTTAAATTCCAGTCAAATTCGTTGAACTTTTCACTTCCGTCCGGGTCCACGGTGCATGGTGATCCATTTGCTGTCAAATGCAATCCAGCTATACCTAAAACACATACAAAAAACAAATGTTTATTATTTATGAGTTCAAATTAAAAATATTTAGATCAAGTAAGTATAGTTGACAACAAAAAGAAAACACTTTAAACAGCCGTCTCACATGGGAAAATGGTACTTTGCAAAGAGTCTATGTCTCGATTCAATTTTCACCTTTGCGGAACAAAATTTCAACTATGAGAAGTATTAAAATAAAGCCGAAGTTCTGAAGCATTGTAAAAAGGTCACATCCAAAATAGTCAGTGAATGCATCCACAATTGCCAAAACCTGGGCAAACATAACAACTGTCATCTTAGGTACCGTGGCACAAAGATTTTCTGGATAATGAACAAACAGACTAAATGGCTAGAGGAGGATCTGTAAGACTAAAGCCCCTGAACATGTTAATTGGGATGAAAAGATCAAATAATAGACTCCTCAGTCTCAGAATGGGTTCACCAAAAACAAAAGAAGTGGACGAAATCCAGAGGTGTCAGACACAGTAAACTCATGTAACAACCCTCACCAAAACTGGCAAGCACTTTGCTACAGTTAGACAGGGTACAACTTAGGGGAGTGATAGCATCGGTCACTGGCACCTGGGAGTAGACCTCGTTTATAGGTAATGTAATGAGGAGGAAGAAACTACCACCCATATCATCATGGAATGAGAAGCAACAGTTCAATGAACCATAAACAGAAGACCAGAGAAAAAGAATTGCAGCAATGACATCCTAGAGACTAAGGCTGCTTGGGAAATACCAAATCCTTGTTGCATAGTATCTCGTCATTACAATCATGATAAAAATAATTATATATTTCAATTAATTATACTTTATCTAAGATCTTGGTTGAGATGAAAAAGTATAATAAATTTAAATAATATACACGGTCAATTATGACTACTAAATATATGGATTATATATTTACTTATGCTATAATAGATTGTAGCTTTCATTTGCGAGGCTAAAGCGTTCTTGTTTTGTTCTGGAAGAAGTTAACATTTGTTCTTGCTTAGCTATTGCATGGAAAAAATAACGATCTGAACTGTACAGGCGAAGATTCATCTAAGCGGTGTATCGCTGCGTTAAAACCTCATTTTCTATTGCTGGTTTAGCATCGTTAATCTCCACCCTTCAATTTTAAAGAATTGCTTTGAATTTTTGAATTCACGTCGATTTGAGAAATCATACCTTGTTTTATTTTATTTTTGTTAAATTATTTCTATCCACGTAAGGCTGTATCGTGTTATGTTGCTTGATTAACACCTTGACTTTCAGACAAACAATTTTATGAAATGATAGCTTTTAAATGTTTTTGATTTTTTTAAACCTATGTAGTGTATCGCTGCGTTGAAAACTCATGCTTTGATGCTGGGTTAGCACCTTAATTCAATTAAGACATAGAACTGAAACCATCTACGAATGTACAATAGGCCAAATGGACTACCTAGTAACTTCTCATCATCTTCATTATCAATTTTTTAACCTGAGATGTCGACGCCAGGAAAAGTGTCAGAAGGCTGCAGAGCCTGGGGAGCACAAACCCTGCTTCCTAATAACCGTCACCAACATCATCATCTTTTCAGTATTAGAAGTATCAACCACTTTTTTACTTACGAACACTCTGGAAAGTATGGTCTTGAAGAAGAAATCAAATTTAGTTTCTACTGCCAAGCTTTTGACCTATTTTAAGGCCATCATCAGGGCAAAACAATCTTACATATATCTACCGATTGACATATTTAAGTTTCTACAGGCGATCTCAAATTTCCTTGAAGATCGGACTGTAACTATTATAGTCCTTGGCATTGTTGGGACTGAGTCGGCCTACAAGGAAATTTGACATCATCATCAAACCAATATACCAAATATCTAAAGTCTACTAAGTATTGGCTAAATTAGTGCAAGACAATACAGACCAAGATAAAACAGCGAGACTAAACGGACCAGGAATAAATCAGGACAATTGTTTATAATTTGAATTCACAGGCTGAAAACAATTTAAGCAATGAATCGCACAACTGTGCATACTCAGGAATCTTGGAGAAATTTGAGGATCTGGAAATGCCAACTTTGGAAAAGTAAGAAATCAGTTTTGAGAATTGGCATAAAAAGAAAAAAAGCTTTATTTTTGAAGTTTTTTTGTAAAGCCGGAGAGGTGATGAACCTGAAGTTTCGGTTCATTTCAAAAGTTTCGGTCTGTCAGACGAGTTTCGGCTTCGCCATCTTCACTGTCGGGTTTTAAACAAAATTGTTGTTATAAACTGAAGATGGCAAGGAGAAAAGCAGCAGCAACAGTGAGAATAAGCAGACCAAAATGATCAGAAACTATTTAACGGCACTTTTACAAAACTTCCAGATTATTGTTCAATGTTCATCCACGAAATCCGTTACGATTATCAATTTATCCCATAAACCGTTTTACTGATAGTTTCTCCATTATTGCAGTTATTCTGGCTAATCTGAACAAAACTGAGCATACCAAATAACCAAAGAACAAATTTTGGAACTGGGGAAAAAACCCCAGGAATAAATTTAAGGAATGATCGCTAACTGGATAATTTCAGGTAGTTCGAAATGTTAATTTTTAAATGGTCCAACTTTGAGAGTTTGTTAAATAATAATCTAGTTGTTTATTCAAACGGAAACCCGAATGGGATTTACGTTCTGACGGGCGAAGGGGGTCATCGGTAAATGACCTTTCGTGAGTAAAAAGCTCCCTCCTGCCGGTGATTAACAATTGAGAACGTTCACCAGTATAAAACAGATATATAGGCAAAATTAAACATACCTACGAAGCTCAAAAATATATTTTAAAAAGTCATGTATTTTAATATAAAGAAATCTATTTTCCGGACTGCCCTGATGAGAAGAATCTCCGTTGTTTTTGTGTTTCAAAGTGTTTTGGCATTTTTACATTCACTGAATGTCTGCATATTTATCTCGCCTTAATACTAGTGTCGCGGATGAACAAATTAATCAGTCGGGTATCCGCATGTTTCTCTCACCCTGTAATTTGACAAAATTCTCATGTGAAAGATCAGAAAAAGAAAGAAAACCCGCAGATGGTAGGTATGCCCTCAGCTGTTTGTCGGCCCATATATTAGGGTAATTGATAATGAACTAGTGTCGCGGGTGGATGATTTAATTAGTAGGATGTCCGCATGTTTCTCTCGCCCTAATGTTAAGTATCTGATTACAAAGTAGAACGCTAACTTTAATTGATTAGAAAACATTTTGGTAATTGCTCAAAATACGCGAGAAAGACCAGAAAAATAAAGAAAACACGGAGAGGGACGGCGATCACCTCAGCTGTTTGTCGTCCGTCATATATATATATATATATATATATATAAAACGGTAATTGATAATGAACTAGTGTCGCGAGTGGATGATTTAATCAGTTGGATGTCCGCAAGAATCTCTCGCCCTAATGTCAAGTGTCTGATTACAAAGTAGAACGCTAAATTTTATTGATTAGAAAACATTTTTGTAATTGGACAAAATACGCGTGAAAGACCAGAAAAATAAAGAAAACACGGAGAGGGACGGCGATCACCTCAGCTGTTTGTCATCCCATTTTATATATATTATGATAATTGATAATGAACTAGTGATAATGAATGGATGATTTATTCAGTTGGATGTACATGTTCTCGCCCTAATACTAATCATAACCCCTTATATCCTAATGATAATCATTTGACTACGAAGTAGAACTCTAGATTTTGCTTTGTTTCCACGTGTTAATAACAAAATATTGTAGAGAATGGATCAACTGATGAAGTGGATGCCCGCATCTAGTGTTGCCGCAGGCCTCGAGAATACCCACCTTGGGTGTTGGCAGTCCGGGGTCGAACCACTGACGTTGGGCACCGGGTGATGTGAACAACTACGTCAATTCAGCACCTAAAGTATGCAGTTCCTAGATACAAAACCATTCACACTCTCACTCATTCCTAAACACATTCTTTCTCATTCATATACCATTCATTCAATCAGGATGGTGGGACATTATTCATCCCGATTAGACATCACCTTTTACAGCGATTGACTAATCTAATTTAGGGTTGATGGAGTGGATACCAGGAACTGGAGGAATTCCTCTTATCAGTGAAACTCTGTACAGTTTATTGCACTCCTGAGTCGATGGGGTACTTTATATTCCTCACATTACATATTCATGCCAATAAATATATTTACCACACTCAACAAAAACTACCAGTACAATATCAAATTAAATAACCCTGTTTACTTCAAAAATCGGAATGGAGGACCCAAAGATGCCGTTCTCGATCACAATTTTTATTTTGGGCTGCTTTCCTTCCTACTCACTTCCTGCACATAACCATTTGAGTGACTATGACAGGGTCAGGGTCATAACATTATTAGAGGAAATAAAGCAGCGCGTAGTCGCAAGGAGATTGAGTGTAAATCCCTCTACAACAGGAAGGGTTCTTCTGTGGTTCAGAGAAACAAGGCTTCACCCTAGAAAGCCAGGACACGGTCGACCTAGGTCTACATACGAGAGAGAGGCGATAGATTCCGTCATCAGGCTCTACAATGCCGCAAAGAAATAAGATAAGAAATCTTGTAAGGCAAGTCCGCAATATTTCGATTTCTTCCAGGACTAAAAGAAGAAGACTAATGAAAATAACCTTAGAGCCCGGAATGTGAACCCTTACCAGGCTCGTGGACCTTTTCTTTTTTCAGTATTAGAACTATCGACCACTTTTCACTCCCGATCTTGGTTTGTTCTTGAAAAAAACAAAACCAAATTCAGTTGTTCTCCCAAGCTTTCTACATATTTTATGGTCATCGTCAGGGCAAAACAACGTTAACTATGTCTCAATACTTAAGTTTTTTTACAGAATGCCAATCTGTGACCATATTTAAGATTGTTTTGCCCTGATGAGTGTTTTAAAATAGGTCGAAAGTTGGCCGTAGCAACTGAATTTGCTTTCTTCTTCAAGACCATAACTTGATCTAGCGGGTACCTCTTCTTACAATGGCTCTGAAAATGACCAGGACGTGAACGTGTGAATGGGACATTGGGGACGAGTTCTTTTTACAGTTGAGGTGAGAATTGGCCTCAAATCTCTAGATAGGCGTAATTTTATGTGGAGACCCTCAAGAGCCCATAGCCTCATGCTGTATGGTTCTTCAGATGGCATTCCATGGTGGGTCATTGATGTTCTGGGGTGACATTTTGTTGGATCGCCCGCACCGAATTGATGTTGTGCGAGGAAGATCTCTAACTTCACAGAGGTACTTACAATACTCGAAGAACATGCAATGCCATTTGCCCCCCCCCCATCTTGCTAATTCAAGCTAATGCCAAGCCCCATAGAGCCCGTATTTTGGATGACTACCTGAATGAGATTGGAATTAAGTGCTTGTTGTGGCCAGCTCGGTGTCCAGATTTGAACCCTATCGAACACTTTTGGGACCAATTTAAGTGACGAGTACGATGGCGAAACACAGGACCTATGACCCTACCCAAAAACTCGCTCGGGCAATATTGCTTTAGATCAAGGGATGTGGAAATAACGTCTACACTGCAATGTGCTTGTTGAGAGTGGTACAGAAGACCACAATAAATAAAACTTCTCTGTACTGAAATTAAAAACAGGCAAACACCGTCTATCAAATCAAATTTATCAAAAAATTTCCAATAACAGTGAATTTGGGTGACGCGAGTTAAAAAGTTGAAGGTCGAAATGTTATCTATCGTTCATGAAACGATTAAACGATTAGGGAAAAAATATATACGAAATATTTGATAAAATCTTTGTTAAATTTAAACAAAAATAAACAATTAGGTGATCAGTTCAATAAAAAAGGTAGTATTTTATTGATATTATTTGTTATCCATTCAGTTAAAAAGATTAGTACTTTATTTCCGTAATATTGTTTAATATCATCAAATGGAAGTAATTTTAATTTGTAATGATAAAGATGTTTCTCAAATCATATTTTAATACTGTTTGTCCGAGGTAAAAATAAATCCTCAAGGAGTCCTGAACCTGCCTGTATGGTAAACATGTTTTGAAACTCCGTCGCGAATTTTTCAAATTTTTACCCTAAAAAGAAAAAAAAACAGGCGAATTTCTTCCCCTACACGGTGTATTGAAATTTTTCGGGTCAAGTTTAAAACAGGTTTTCCTACGGCTAAAACTGGAAACAAGACGAGAAATGGGTTCGCGAAGGAAAAAAAAACCCCGACATTTTTCCACTTTGCCCAAATTTGCAATCTTTTCTCAAACCGGCATATAAAAAAAAGCCCAAACAACTTCTGAATTTGCAAAAATCCGGTCAAGACAATTGCACAAAATACGGACTTTCCGGAAACCTGCGAGAGATTTGCAAAGTCGAGGAAGCAGGAAAGAAGCCGTTTCGGCCTTGATTCTCGGACAAACAAGCCGCGAGACACATTCAAGTCCTGAATAAAAGGACTTCAGAATCCTTTGCATCCTTTGTTTCATAGAACCTCTCAAGATAAAATAACGAATATCAGACAAATGACCTACGTCAATTTCAAAGAGATAACGTCATAAAACTGATCTTATTTTCAATATTAACAGATATCACTATAAAAACTAAGTGATAAATAAACCATGGGTTGTTTTATTAATAGTAGGTTTTACTTTAATAGGTTAAAAAAAATCAAAGCACAGAGGCAGTGTTTGTTTATTGCGCTTTTAAATTAATAAAATGAAATAAACCGACGCAATAAATCAACCGACGACTACAAAGTACATATAATAAATCTGAATCACTGAGAAAAAATGAAGAATTCAATTAATCCTTTGTATAACAAAAAAATAATCGAATAACCGGTCTTCCTTCACCTTGAGTCTCGTTCTTTTTATCTCCCTCTCTTCCATCCGTTATACTATTTTAATTTAAATTTATTTACAAAACCGCGATCGAATTAAATACTGGATTAGTCTCGAAAGAAATATTTAGAAAAATCCCCACCTTCAAAAATTGTAATTGTACAAGTATATGTGTATAGGATATGCATATTTCTTTTGTTTTGATGATTTTGTTTTATGCTACTTACAGAAAAGGATTATGGTTGTTAACATAGCGGCTGTCTGGCACGGACTGAACCAAGAGAACTAGAGAAGCGCTTAGTGATCTCCCCCGTCGGACATCGTTCAGATCGATTATCTGTACTCGATTCACGGGAAAACTCGATGTTCTTGGCTCTCTTCGTTCGCTTTTCACCGATTGCAAACGTTTTCCGAAGATGATTCGAAAAAAGGTAAACTTTGTTGGAAAAACGAGAAAAATTATTTGTCGAGTTTTTTAAGCCGATTTTGCCTGTAATTCGGATAGTTGGTGTTCGGGTCCGCTTATGCTCGTACTTTTCGGACTTTTTTCAAACCTTAAGTCTTAAGCGTCTGCGTATTCTTAAATATATCGTGTATACAATTTATTGCAATGAATTCGTTAAAACATTATTATTCCTGATCGTACCGTTTACTTGAGTGTCATCACCAATAAGCAGAATAATGCAAAATCAATTTATCACGAAATTTACCAATTACAAATTCATTTTATTAACGCTTAATGTATTATTGGATTCTGGAATGCAATAAAAGTAATAAAACGACATGACGAAATGGGCGCTTACAATACGTTTTTATGCAATCTGGAATAGATTCCAGCATAATTTGGCTTACATTTCATGATGAGTTAATGTTATCAATAATTTTACCAACGATCTTTCAAATATTGTCAGATAATAAAATTATCTACAACAGTCAGTTATTATAACTATTTTTGTGATTTTTCCAAAAAAATGAAAGCCTTTGGATAGGATATTGTGGATTTTTTCCTCCCATAATGCCTACATATTCATGGAATTTTGAGGCTGCAAAAAAGAAAATCTACTTTGACCCTTGGTAGAAAAATATTTCATCCTATTTTGCTACATTGCTTGTTCACTACGTCAAAATTGTATTTGGCAGCTAGGTAGGATCGTAGATATTGAAATACATAATTTTTGACCGAGCGACGTAGAAAAAATAGGCTAAGATATTTTCTTATCAAGAAACAAAATAGACATCCGTTTTTCCCACACCGAAAAAACCCTGAATATAAATTTTTGGTAAAATGAAAAAAGTTCCTTTTTACGTCTAACTAACTTTGAAATGATTCCACCGATCCTCGGGAAACTTTAAAGGGGTTTAGATCGTTAAATTGCATGAAATGAAATAAATCACCGAAAACAAATTACAATTTGAGATATAAAATAAAACGCCTGAAGGTTTTTTTGTGGTCTTCATCCTTGATTTTCTCTCCTATAATGACATAAAATCTAAATATTATTAACATTGGCTTAAAACAGAGCTATCCAGCTTTCCAACGGTTGACATAACATTAGATTTGGATAAAAGCTATACATTTTTAAGTGGAACAACAGGACACTGGAGAAAAAAACAATTGCCCTATCTAATCCAGCCCAACAATGTCTCTTTTTCGTTGGCTCAAAAAGTTAGTTTTTAAGGATTTTAAAAGGTGCTAAAAAAGTTGTTATTAAAAAGTTTTTTAACCTACTTTACTGAGAGCGTCTTTTAGTTTTTGTAAATTTCCATATATCTAATCTGACATATTCCTATCCTGCATATTATTTTCTTACCCTAGAATAAAAAATTAAATGTGTGAATTCCTTTTAAAAAAATTTTTTTAAATATACTATTACAAAAAACAAAGTTTCTTTAACTGATATTGTTTTGGTATAATTTTCGTTTGATTATTTATTTAATTTTTTTTTAAATTTACAAATACAGTACTCTTATACCCGTTAACAAATACATTTCTGTAAAATCTTTGGTACCCCCAAGAAGATTTGGGCCATTTCTGTGATTCCTATGGTATAATTTGACACAGCTTTAGGATACCGTTCGTTTAATTATTTATTTATTTTTAAATTTATAAATACAGTCCATTTATACCCGTTAACAAATACATTTCTGTAAAATCTTTGGTACTCCCAAGAAGATTTGGGCCAGTTCTGTGATTCCTATGATATGATTTGATACAGCTTTAGGATACCGTTCGTTTAATTATTTATTTATTTTTAAATTTACAAATACAGTCCATTTATACCCTAACAAATACATTCTGTAAAATCTTTGGTACTCCCAAGAAGAAGATTTGGGTCATTTCTGTGGTTCCTATGATATGGTATGATACTGCTTTTGATACAGTTCGTTTGATTATTTATTTATTTAATTTTTTTATTTAAGTTTACAAATACAGTCCACTTATACCCGTTAACATTTCTGTAAAATCTTTGGTACTCCCAAGAAGATTTGGGCCAGTTCTCTGATTCCTATGATATGGTATGATAAAGCTTTATGATACCGTTCGTTTGTTTATTTATTTATTTAATTTTTTAAAAGTCATAAATACAGTCCACTAACATTGGTAATGACTTGGCCCGATTTTCTGACTACACGTTCTTCTGGTTTCGTTAGAACCGACCGTCCTTTTTTGGGTAGGATTTATTGTTCTATCTTTGTTTTATTTAGAAGGGCGTTTAATTTTACTCCGTTGGGCAACAAAAGCAATTTTTATTTTCCGAGATTAAATGCTTGGATCCAGTATAGAGCTTGACAATGCTGGCAGATAACATATACTATAGAGGCAGGTATACTGCGCAGTGGGAACTCTTAGCCATTTTGAAATTGAAAATATATTTACATTGATAGCGAGTGGTATTACTGGAACATAGTAAGTTAAGATAAACACAATCAGTGTGTTGTGGTTTCGCTGTTTACTTTAATTCAAAATGAGCGTCCCTAATAAAAAAAAATTTCGGTCGAAAAAATAGAACACTTTTTCAACACGTTTTTGATCTCACTAAAATGGTCAGGATGAATGTCAAAAGTTGAGCAATTTCACGATTATCATCTCAAATAAATGAGTTAATAATTAATGGATATTAATCCTGATCATGAGCCGAGTAGCCTTCATACACATCAAAAACAAACTAACAGATCGGGCAAGCCTTAAGGAACGTACAATATGCCAATTGGAATGAGTTGAATCAGTTTTTAATCAAAGAGTTTGATGATAGGAAAGGACCGGCCAATAATAAAAACCCTTTCAGATCATTAAATCTAATAAAAGACAAGTTTGACTTGTTCAGAGCAAAAATACTTATGGAAAAGGGATCAGATGAACAGAAAGCATACCTAATAGAATTTCAAGAAAAAATTATGGCTACAAATTTTGTCTGCTCATTACCCCTTACAGAATAATCTAGCAACCAGAAATCCACAGACATTGATGGACAAAACTATTAACTAACCTTCAGTACTTGCGCGAAAGTAACAAAGACACATCGCAAAAATTTCGACCACCATTTATAAAGGGACACTTCATAACTTTCCAAAAAATTTCAAACTTAACTTCCCTCAAAACAATTTCTTTAAACTACCAAATCAACACACATAATTAGTCTAATAAGTTTAATTGTTCTTATTGTACCTACGTTGAAGGTTTGAGGGTTTCTGGTATTCTGAGATCAAATATAAACTCAATTAATTTGAGGAGTTCTCGACAGTTTATGTGTAGTATTTTTATATTTATGGAGAAATATAATATCATGTTTTTACGACTGGTTTCATGTGTGTCTATATTCATGCATAACAATGTTACTTGACTGGAGAAGGTGTCATCGATTGTGTAAGTATAGTTGCTAGAATTATTGCAACTTGAGAAGCGGAAGAACCTCTTTGAAGTATTAAGAGTAAAAGTATAATTAATTTAGATTATTATCTAAACACCAAGAGTAAAGAGAATTTAAATTGTTTTGGAGGAGGAACAGGTTTAAAAATTTTCGAGTGTCAGCAAAGAGAAGAAAATTTATATAATTAAGCACAGAGGAAATGTCCTTTATAAAAATAAGAAAACAGTCGTAATGAAGCCCTGAGAAACTCCTGAAGTAACTAAATTTAAAAAAATACAGGAAAATTAAGTTGGACTATTTCGAACTATTTTCCAGATAACAGTGAAACCATCAGAGAAAACTGTCATAAAAACCTTATGCCTCCAACTACGCTATCAAAATGTCATGATGTGTCAAATGCTTTTGCAAGGTCTTGTGTAAATTGAATCGACATAACTGTTTATGAAATACATCTATAATGTGTTTCTGATAGATTCAAATATTGGTGGATACTGACTTATTTTTTACAAAGCCATTAAATTTGTTGTTTTCTTATTTTAAATTGATCTGTTCTCGTTTTGATAACCGAATTTACAAAACCATATTGTTGCGGGATATCATTTGGGACAAAAGTGAGAAAAAATTGGATAGTCCCTCTAGTTTGGAACTTGTTTATAAGCTAGTCATGCTGGATTATTTCAACAGCATTTATTTTATTCCCTACCACGGGATTTTCAAGCCCTAAAGCTCCATTACACCGTTGGGTATTGTCTTTGACGCGACTGCTAAAACCACATCGGGAAAATCGTTAAATGACCTATTGTTGGTTGGGCCTAAATACAGATGGATGTTTTTAGTCTGTTGGTTCTAAACTACAGATGGATGTTTTTAGTCTGTTGGTTCATTTCCGATGGTTTTTGGTTGCAGTAAGTTTAGATATTAAATGTATCGTCAAATTTGGTTAAGCCCTGAACATAGGAAGTATAAAAGGTTTTTGTGAAGATCTTCCTCGGAAGAATCTCTTCAGATGTTTGAATTGAACAAAATAGCTTTCGGATTGTCGTCGCCACCATTTTTGGCCCTTAGAACCGTAAAACATTCGGCTAACGAAAAGGACAAAAGGTTTTCGGTATGGACATGGACGATTTTGTGACTTCTATGAAATCGTTGGATTTATTCCAATCTGGTGGGTTTAATCTCACAAGTGATCGTCCAATAGGCCCGAATTGCTTGTGGGCAATCCTGAGCCTTCAAGGATTAAAACGTTTCAGAATGAAAAACCCTTCCTGCTCAGTTTTGGGGTTTCATTGGAACTCGCTCACCAATTATTTTGAGTTTAAAGATTGTTTAGCCACTATAACAAACGTAACATGTTATTTCTCGTATATTTGATCCGTTAGATTTTGGCTTTTTTTTTTGCTTTTAGGTTCATCGCATGTCTCACAATTTGGAGATGCCCTACAGTTTATTTTGTGTAGGTACTCTCCGCAGATGCTACTACAAATCAATATCACGAGCGGTATTCGAACCCACGACCTTCGGCTAAATACGCCGCTGCTCTACCACTTGAGCTATCGTGACATCGATCCAATCGGACACCAACTTCCAATCTCTACCCAACCTTTCGAATTTTCCATCTTTTTTGCCATTTTTCAAATGTCGTGTAATCTATTTCGGCGACAAATGAAATAGCCACGGAGAGCATTAGTGATGATATACTTCATCAAAAGGAGGGAAAATTCGGAAGGTGAGGTTGAGATGGAGATTTGGTATCCTAGTGGATCGAGGTCACGATAGCTCAAATGGTAGAGCAGAGGTGTATTTAGTCGAAGATCGTGGGTTCGAATCCCGCTCGTGACACTAACTTTTTTATCTCAACCAATACCTTACATAAAGATTAATTATTGAAAGATGAAAGTTGATTTTGGTTAGGGCAACACGCTATTTATAGTACATCTCATATTATATTTGTCGATATAATTTCCATTTCTCTAAAAAAGACCTCAAGGTTCGGAAGGGCAAAGGGATGGTACTGGTAAAATGTGATAATTGAGGAATAGTGTTCCATTATGTATTTATAAAACATTGCACGAATAAATTTTTCTATATGACTGTTATTGGCTTTTGCATTTTCATATGCATTCCCCCAACATATATATGTTTTAAGTAGAAGGTAAGCGGTATATTTGTTACGTTGAAAATAAATACCATTTTAAAAGATCGTCTCTAATCATGCCTAGATATTCGATTTTATGGCCTTGATTCAGAAACTTTGAAAATGCTTAGGATGATGAATTGTCCTGCTCATTAAAACCTCATTAAAAAACCTATTTTACTTGAGGACTCCAGAAAATACATAGATAAAAAATCTGAAAAGTTTTGCGAGGAATAAAATTACATGGACGATGGCAACAGGCAGTGCTCAAAATGGCTCGTATATTTTTGAAAAAATAATTGTTTTTCACTATTTGAAATTTTTATTGAAATTTATCATAAAAAAAGAAGGCTTTGAAGGTATTTTACGTTTGTATCTAAAAGTTAAGTTTCTTGACTGGTTTCAAAAACGTTTTCATTGTATATTCTGCGAATCTGAATATTAATTTCCAAACATTAGATTTTAAAAAACTGAATATAGAAGGGTATTAATTTTTTTGAATAGGTACATCTAAATAGAATCAACGAGCAATTCCTCATTCTTAAAAAAAAACGGTTTTATTTGTTGAAGAGCTACGTTGTTTGTGCAAAAGGTAATAACAACAACACGTAATTCAAAAACAATTAGAAGACTACAACCACTTCCTGAAATTGTCGTCGAGAACTCCATCAATATTTTTATTTCCATAATTTAAGGTATTTAAAAAAAATTGCTTCATCATCAATCCGTGGCCAGGCTTGAGCCAAAATTTGTAAGGGATTTTCACCTAAGTTTTATTAGAATAGGAAAAAAATTCCCGATTCTAACCATCACTTAGAAAAATCACAGACAATCTTTATTTAAACGTAAGAACAATAAAATATGATCCAACAATGCAACTGGCAGGTTTGTCAATAAAACCAACCAGAAAATGTTTTTCTGTAACCTACATC